TATATTAATTACAAACATTTTGTAAGTATAATGACATGAATTATATGCAATCTAGCACTAATTGATATTATTATATAACGAGTAAATTTAATAAAGTCGACAATGCAACTGACAGGAAATTGCATAAAAAATGGTTTGTCATGTAAACTTATTAGGTTTTCAATTACTTGTAATATGAGCTACAAAAATGTAAATCTTTACGACATTACTTTATATTTACTGTGGTTTTCAATATTCATATAATATAACGCGAATTATTGTTAGGTTTTTGAAAATTTCCAAATTAACTATAACTATTATACTTTAGGGAAGAATACTATTCATTATCATCACTAGCTCACTAAACGTCCCCACTAAGGGGCTCGGAACCAACCCTAAGCAAGGGGTGAAGAATACTGTAAGATATGTAAAAAAATATCCATGTCAGTAGCTTCAGATATGGTTTGACTTTGAGATCTAAATTGGCAGTTTAAATGTAGATATTGGAAACACAATACGCAATGTATCTTCGCGTGAATGGGATTAAACTGTTTGTTTTAATGATTGTTTTGAACACGTAATATTGAGTTATGCATTCAACGTCCTCGGATTAGTTATATGTACAGTTGGGGAAACTGGCGGTGTCCATCTAAAAAGGTACAATCATACTAATATTACAAATACGAAAGTTCGGATGGAAAGATAGATGGATGTTTATTAGAACTTGTAGCCTAAACGGCTTAACGGATTTCAATGTAATTTGGTATTGTTGTAGAGGATAGTCTGAAAGAACAAATAGGCTACTCACTTTTGTTTTTTATTTTAATTCCACGTGGACGGAATCGCGGGCGTAAGGTTGTAACATTATAAGAGCGAAAGTTTAGATGAATGGATGGATGTTTGTAAGATTTGTAGCCTAAACTGCTGAATGGATCTTGTTGAAATTTGGCATAGATCTAGAAGATAGTCTGGTATAAAACATAAACAGTTTAGTTTTGTTTTTTTATCCCACGGAGACGGAGTCGCTAGCGAAAGCTAGTCGTTTGAGTATTTTGAAATGAGGCGGAACAAAAATCTATACAACACAGCTTACAAATGTATCTGTACGAAAAAACGCCGGATGGTATTAGATGGTACACATACAGACGGCTCATTTCTTTATATTATTATCTCTTCGTTTGCATCACTAACTGTATGTAATTAGTTATTTGTAGGAAGAGGCGGAGTTCGACTCTTTGTAACGATCAAGGCTAATTTTTCTCAAGTGGAACACTGCGGATTTTCGCGACTGTACAACCTGAACACATGAAAACAAACTATGAAATGTGAATAATATAAAATGGTTGAACTACGAATCACTATATACATAACTAGCTGTTCCTCGCGAATATGCTTTGCTATTCAAATGACTGTTACATAACCGTAAACAAAGACATATAATACAGGAAATATGATATATAGACATAGTGAATTTTTTTTCACCGGTAATTTCTTTGAAAGGTACTATGTTAGTTGACTCGTTTAGTACGCCACCTTATGACCTTGTATTGACATGTCATAAAACATTTTACAAAATTATACTAAGCTCCATCTTTTGTTTTAAAATAAACCAAACGGTGTCACAAACAAACCATAAACATTTAAATCTTATTTAGTAACATTTATTGACAATTCATTTAATTACAATTAATTACATTGACATATGGTTTTGAGGACCTATTAATAAACAGCGTTAGTGAGGATCATGTGAAAAATATCTCAAGTGAAGTGTCAATTATGCACTCTATACTTTTTTGAATCTCTGTGTAAAACTTAAATATTTCAATTATAGTGGATTGTCAATTGACGACAGACATTTAAATATGTTTAAACCTCTTTGTTTGTCTCAAACAATTGAGGCGAAAGTCACATAGTCAGACAATTCACCTGGTTTATGAGATATGAAACGGTTGATCGCTTTGCTTACTTCAACGCTTGTGCGAATGTTAATACCGTCATTGATGCAATGATTTATGCTAAAATTTAATTCAAAAAGTTGGAAAATATATTTATGTTTAATTTTCTGCAGCGGAAAAAATATGTCATTAATTTATTTAATTGCCTTTCCCATACTATTTATATAGCGGTTATAGATGTTCCAAGTATTCCCTCTGGGATACCTCTACCATCTTTTTTTAAGAAATTAATACTTGCTTAAAAATTATGTAAAGAATTGTAGCACTTTAAATATGCCAAATAAAGTTTCGTGATATCTATTTTTTATGGTTGTATCACATCGACCATTCTTTTCTCTAAAAACATCAATTAAAATGCGTTCGACTTAATTTGTGACTATTGTTCGTATTCGGTATGAATTCTTCTCCTAGTAAATATGTTTAAAAAACACTAAAAGCAACATAATAATTGACAATTGAAACACAGTACACTCCCATCTTATAACCATTATATCTATATTGTACAATTAGAGCAAGCTCACACGTGAAACTAAACTATCACACAACGCTTTGATTCCTATGAACTTCTATGGAGATGCGCACACTACACGATTTTTAGTCGTGCAACTAAACAGTTGAATTGGCTGCGAAACAATCGACAATCGTTTTGTCAAAGGTGTGCTCTTATTGTACGCTCTTGTTATTTTGAAGTCGGTATCGGTCAACGTAAACTCAGAACTTATTATGTATACGTTTAATAGCGTATGATAATTGTTATGTTATAAACATAGTAAGCCTCACGCATGTAAAAAATGTCACTGTCTCCTCGGCTTACACGTGCGTACTCCCTATAGTTAAACAAATAGGTACGTATACCACGGTTTGCACTCGCGTGCCACACGTTGGATTAAAAAGAAACTTTGCCCCTTTCACGTGTTCATTGCTTCCGATATTCCAAACTACTTTTATATGGCCTCTCTTCTTAAGTTGTTATACAATTAAAGTTACTCCCGAACTTTAACTCTCGTTTCTAGAACGTTTTCCACATAATAGAAATTGGTTAATTAACCATTCATTAAAACGAGTATAACTTAACTAAATTTTAACAATGTAACTTGTAACAACAACTAAGTTTATTTAAACTTAGAAACTTTACTTCAACTTACAATATTGTTGTTTAACATTTCTTAATTTTTGTTATAGGTTCTCTTTAATATGGACAGCATGGACGACTCAGAGAACAATGCAAAGATATCTGATTCAGCATACTCTAATAGTTGCAGCAACAGTCAGTCCAGGCGCAGGTAATTATTATATATTTTTGTATTAAACAACAACTTAAAGTATACGCTTAAACAATTAAACGACATTTTATAACTAGTTTTTGATTATTTATTTTTTAATTTTACTATATTGTAAATTTCGAAGTATGCAACCTCGGTTGCCGAGTTCGTATACTATAGTTGAGCCAATTTAATAGGTCACGTTTTTGTCGTCTGTTAGTTTTAGTTCCATAATGAAATAACCTTCTTAATATATCAGGTTTCACTGACCCAACGTTGTAACGAAGTTCGATGGTAATTACTAGAAATTATGTAATTGTATTTTTTTAAGTAATTGTGTAGTTCTCACATATGAATATATTAACGGTGCAAAGATATAGATTTTTATGAACGTTCAGAAATACCTATTTTGGTAGGATTGTTACAAAAGGTTAAGACAATATTTTGTCTTGAATGAAACATTTACTAAATGGTATTGTTACTCAATATGATAGAATACTTAACAATGTACTAACTATTTTTGTTGTTCTTACTTCAAAAATATGCTATAATTTTTATGCCCGCTGTACGAGGTTATTTTGTTGGATGTTGGCTGTATCAAATTTACTTATAAGAATGGTCAACCTATGTCCTCTGCCTTATTTTGTTCTGCTACTTCTAAATGGGGATATTCTGATTATTCGTAATTAAATTGTTAAGGATACCTTATTAAAATACGAACAACAATATTTCCTAGCTGTAGCAGATACTTGAATTATCTACGTTTCTATATCCCAAAGTCTTAGATTTCAGACTGAAGTATTATAATCTTTCGGTACTGTCTTCTGACAACGGAAACTCACAGTTACACCAAATTTATGGTTACAATTTTTTATAGTTCGAAGTCAACCCACTCTGGAAGCAATTCGAGTGGCAGTAGCGGTTATGGCGGGAAACCATCTACATCCGGTTACAGGTGCGTCATCTAAATATTAAGGACCATTTAATGATCGTTTAATTATATCAATGTCTTTATTATTTTTAATAACTACCCAAATTTCTTTTGAGCGATGGACAACATACTAACATATATACATAATATAAAGTTTTTTTTTTATTTAAATGTTAAAATGAAAAATATAATTGTAGAGAAGTAATGTAATATTGAAAGAAATATCAATCACCATATAAACCTACTAAATCTCGCTATCTAGAATCTAGAAAAGTTTTCCACATTATAATAGATTCGGTATTCTAAAGATGCCTTTATCTTGCATGTTGTATTGCAAGTTTTAGAATTTCAATGACGTCATTTGCATGAATTTACAAGGCATGAGCACTTTCAAGGTGCAACTGCGTAATACTTTAGTATAGTGGGATTCATTATTAAAATTCGTACTATCTTTTCGAATTGGCAATCTTTAAATATTTTTTATTCGTACAATCAAGATAATAAAGTTTTTGTTCGATTTCCAAAGAAGCATTTAAACATGGCGGTTTCGGAATTAAAAATTGAAAGACAACGGTCTAAAGCAATTACGCCATGATTAAGATTTTACTTCGAAAATCTGTTTAGTTTATCTTTGCGTAAAGCATTCTCCAACCAGCTTTTTATCGACTTGAATGTACATCTACATATATGTTTTTTATAGTAGTAACAACATTAATCAACCACAAGAGAAAAGGCTGAAAGAGAAAGATTCTAAAAAGAAGAAGCAAGCGCATACGGAGATGTTAACAGAGGTGCGAAATGAAATGGACGATGGTCTTCCAGAATCGGCGCCAATTTTTGAAACCCCCAAAGAAGACATTGACATTGGTGGGTGATGCGACTTATTAAAAAATAAATTATATAACGTATTGTATAGTAAAGTTGGACAAACATATCTGGACGACGATTAATCCTGCCAGAATTTACAAATGTATAATCTAGTTATAGTCAAACAAGGATGTCTAGACCGATGAGGGTGCCGCTGCTATCTGTTGCTTCTAACATAGATAATGACAAAGGAGGGCACTAGTGAGTTATTTTTTAGTTTTATCGCCGGGTCAGAATTGTCGGTGTATAGGCGTCGAAAATAACAAAGACAAAACGTAATATAGAACGGCTTTTTATCTTGTCCAGCGAGAGAGGTGCTCCTAATTGTTTTGTTATCCGTGTAGGTCTTTAGTCAAATAAGAATGTATCTCGGTAAGAGGGTCGCTCCTATAGGATGGTACTGTCAGAAAACATGTAAACCTACATAGAAATAAAAATGGCATAAAAGAAAAAAAATGACATGACACACAGAAGGGAAAGGATATTAAGAACTCGGTAGAATGGCGCTAGTGACGATCATAAACAAAAGAAGGGGAAATATCCTCTTTATGTGCGTCTCTTCGATTTAGGGTAAGCATCTGCAATTTCCGATGCCTATAGGCAGCGTTCTCTTCGCTATTTCGGCGGATTCAGGTGGTCGCTTGTACGTTTGCCACTTTATAATGTAAAAAAACGCCCACCAAGTCAGATATCCTTGTCGGTCTATGGCTATTTTAATTTATTTTCACTTGCCCGCCGGGCCAGATAAATTTGTCCAATATTAAGCTATTTTAGGTGGCGCTAAGTGACATCAGATTACAACATTTTTAAATATCGCGACGTTATAGAAGAAAACGCTGTCGAAATACTGTTTTGAGTACATAAAGATATACAAAGCGTTTCAAATAAGAAAGTGCGTGTGAGGATCTGTTAAGTAGATTGTTAAAATAATGTTTACATTCAAATAGAATGTATCGGAATTAGAGACCAAGGAGGTTTGGTTCGCTGCGCCATAGTAGTAAGTAAATCATAATCTCCGATTAAAAAACTACGCATTGTTGTTACAGTCTGTACTTGTGTAGGTATTTTTGATGAGTAGAGGTTACAGGTGCACAGGTTTTTATTTGAAACGCATGGTATTTGTGATGCAGGTTCAATTCATCTTCATTGTAATTTAGCCCGGTCTAGGAAATAAATACATCTATTACATATAACATGATTTACAAAATATACTCTACAGCAGTTTATTCCGTGACATAAATAAAAAAGTCAACTATTAAGGAATTACAGTTTAATTGCTCACAAAAGTAAACAAAATTTAATTTTTTTCCATCAAACCTTCTCATTTATCTAAACTTTTGCTGGTAAATATTTTTAAAGGTTTTGCGAATTATCCGTTACTCTTTTTTTAAAGTTTTTTGATACCTGCTGTGATATAAATTATGCGTTTAAAAAGATTAATCGCAATCCTAGATAACTTGCTTTCAAACAATTAAAAAGCGGGCGTCCTAAAATTTAAACAGAGTTATTATTATTACAGAAGGCCGAGGAAAGTACGGGGTTAAATTAAATGTAGTATTCAATAAATTATTCTGTATTTCCTTCGGTGTAACACGCTGACACTGTTCCATACTTAAAGGTAAAGTACAATGGGCAGTGAATACACGGTACGTAATATCTGATGTTTTTCCTTGTCAGTAATGGGATTACGCATTGTACAAAAAGGGTACGGGTTGTAGTATTCTCTCTACACAATCTTACACTAAGTTACTGCTTAAGTAATCATTAAATGACTCTGAGTGAGTTAAAGTTTTGAAATTTTTGCATCCATTTTGTTACATCTGTATCGTTACAAAAATCTTTTCTGACTAGATATAGTTGTAGACTTAACTATTCATTTACTTACAATTCGTTATGTTAAATCGATTTTTTATATTAAATTTGAGTATAAAATCGCGGAAAAAATAGTAAAAAGATTTCATCCCTTCATACATTTGCCATCTTTGATATTTGGACTAATATCAGGTTAAAAAAAATTTTCGATTACATCCCATGTTAAAAGTATTTTTTTATTGTGTTGCGCAGTTGTACCGATGTCGTCACCAGCGCTTGCTTCACCCGAAAAGGGTTCAGAAAGTATGGATATTTCGACGTCGGAAAATAGAAGTAGCAAAGGGGACGTCGAACCCGTGAGTGCTGTTTTCCTTAAGGTTAACCCACGTGAGGTCGCTTCATTGTTACATCCTAAATTAGAAATTCACGTTTCTTTATCCCATGTTAATCCGTCGTATCGTCAGTTAGAGTTGAACATCCGAACCATAACGTTCCAATCGTAATGGCTGACAAATTTTGTGGTGTTATAGGCCCGGCTATGTACATATATAATTATAATATTTCGTTAAGGGTACGTACTCTAGAAATAAAGTAAATAAGATAGTGATAACTTTACGCAAAATAGTGTTTTTATAAATGATGTAAACTTAATTTATATTTATTTAATTTAAATTTTGATTATTTTAAATTATCTAAATCTAAAACGTTTATAGTTTAATATTCTATTCTAAGTATTAATATCTAAGTATTCATGCTAATATTTGACTTTGAATCTTGAAGTTAACGTTCAAATAAATTTGTAACCGTACTTTGAAGAGAATGAGGTATTCAAATATCTTTTTTAATTGTCAGTTTGATCCTGATATCACCAAAATGAAATCACCGGTCCAGAAATCGTTCGACAACGCAATTACCCGATCATCGTTATCTTGTCGTGTAAGTGTTTTTTATCTTTATAAGTTATACTCGAACTGTTTCTAGTAGTTTCAATAATTACTTTTGAGTGGTAACTTTGTCTAAGACTTAAAAGTAATGAATTTTAAGGAACACAGGAACCATGTGTTAATAAGATATTCGATTTTAGGCCTTACAGGGATAGAGGGATACCTAGATTTATCAAATAGTAGTGTTTTTGTGTTATAATATTTTTTTATAGTATTTAAGATGTCTAATAGTAGCACCAGTGACAAAGGAACAAAAGGTTAGCATGTTCGGAGTATGTAATGAGATATATGATATAAGAACTTCGTGAATGTAGAAAGTACACCTGTAGTAGTAAGTCTAAGAATGAATGGATTGAATGAAAAGTGACGTAATTATAGTTTGTCTTTTTAACTTGATTAGTTTGATAAATCACGGATATGCAGTATTAAATACATTTTGGATGAAGAAAAATTTCGTACTAAATAGACGGGTATTATGAACACAAGTGCTTAACTACGAACCTATCGATCCCAACTTCTTTGAGAATAAAAATCATACCTGATTTTACACAATCCATCGCTAAAAAATCAAACTAATCATTTAGACAGACTATAACAAGAGACGGCAGAAAAGAGGGATGATAGACTTTGTGGACTTAAGGTCGTGAAGACGAGGTTCTTTTTTAACATCTTTCACTAAGGTTAGAGCCCCACTTGTTAACCCTCAGGATCTTTTATTGACCAATGGCTCTATTGACATGGGTTTTTTCGATTTACAATTAAGTGACCCTAAATATTTATATAATATGTTGCAGGATGGATTCTCTTGCGTAATATCTATGCATGATGGTGTGGTCATGTATACAACTTCATCACTCACCTCAACGCTCGGCTTCCCAAAGGATATGTGGGTTGGCCGATCTTTTATAGATTTCATTCATCCGAGGGTGAGGCAATTTTTAGCAGTGTTTTCGATATTTTACGTAAATTTAACAATTGTTAAAACTAAATATTTTTGTAACAGGACCGTAGTGTCTTCGCTTCGCAGATAACTAACGGCTTAGCGGCACCGAAAAATGTAAATGGTACGCAAGAAAAAGGTAATATTTTTTTATTTAACAGTGGACCACGCAACTAGAGTGTTGCATGACTGTACTTTGCATCGAGCTGTCTTAGCTTTCTTCGAAACATTTAGTTTCACGTAAGTTCATATACATAACATTTTTATGTTATCTAGCAGCATATATGTATATTTTAATATTGACTACTCTAACTTTTTCTATTTCTTGCCAAAAAGCTTATAGAGAAATATCATAACAAATAAAAACCTAACTTTTACAAATTCTTTTATTAATTACAGAGTATCAGTTTTTTTATTTATTTTATTTATATATTTATCGTTATAAATAAATACAAATATTTCATTACATGTTCCAAACATTATAATTTACACTTTTTAAAAACATTTACAGAATATTAGGTGCGCATAACACAATGGGTGTAATAGGACAATCAAGACTTACACGAATTTATTATTGAATTTGTCGAATTATTTCATTATGAAAGTTAATTTTATTTCCAGTGCCAGAAAAAGAAAACTTAGTATCATCTATGGTTTGCCGTATCAGACGATATCGGGATTTGGCTTCGGGTTTCGGAGTCAAGAATAATTCTGTTGTATACATGCCTTTCCTCTTGAAGTTATCTTTTAAAAATGCCAATAACGAAAAAGTCAATGATGTATACCTAGTTATACAGGCGTCGCCATTTTTCTCGGCATTTAAAAGTAAGTATTACTCTTCTGTACTAATATAAAGCGTAATTACATACTTCTTAGTTTGTAGGATGTCAGCGATCACGGAATATCTTATCTTACTAATATTTTAAATGCGAAAGTTTACATGGATGGATATTTGTTAGAGTTTGTAGCCTAAACAGATTAAAGGATCTCGATGATATTTTGCATATATATATATAGAAGATAGTCCGGAAGAACATATAGGCTTCTTCTATGGAGTCGCGAGCAAAAGCTATTATATTATAAAAAGTATCTGAATCAATTGTTCAATTAATAGATTTTGATGATTTTTCTTTGCAGTACCAAACGAGGTGGTAACCAAACCAATACTATTCATAATTCGGCATGCTGCTAACGGCAATCTGGAATACTTGGACCCTGAATCAGTGCCCTATTTAGGTTATTTACCTCAAGATGTTACTGACAAGGATGCATTGCATCTTTATCATCCCCATGATTTGGTCTATTTGAGGCAGATTTATGAAACTATTGTAAAAGAAGGCAGGGCACCGAGATCAAAGCCATACAGGTTAGTACAAAATAAACACGCTACAGTATTTTTGTTTGTTACCTTACAAAGTTAGTATTACACACAAGAGCATTGAATCCGGGTTACTTAAAAAACATAAAATCAAGTTTTTTATACGATTATTGTTAATATTCTGCCATTTATCTCTGTGTGAAAGAAACTAAGAAGTTTAAAAACCTTAATTTCATGAGTATTTAATTGTTTATTAAACACCGTTTATTTTATTAAGCTAATATTCTTAGTTTACGAGTTTTATATAGATATTTTTTTAAATTAGGTGACCCGATTTCAATGCTCTTGAGTGTATTTACTAGTCTAGTATAATATCTCTGTTAAAAAGTTAAAATCTTCATTGTATTTTTAATATTAACGATTTTTTTTTACAGGATGAGGGCACAAAATGGTGATTTCGTAAAACTAGAGACGGAATGGTCATCATTCATTAATCCGTGGTCGAAGAAACTTGAGTTCGTTATCGGAAAGCATTATATAATTGAAGTATGTATTTTAAAATTAATTTTCATGTGTTGTAATGACTGTTTATTCTATTGTATATATAAAGTATATAAATGGGATAACTTAAAAGAAAATATTACCATATCGAAATTTCTCATTTAAGAAAATATTTTTATTCCAGGGTCCTTTAAATCCTGATGTGTTTGAATCACCTGATCCTGAACGAGGTCAAATTTTCTCCGAAGAAGATAGATTAAATGCTCAATCTCTTAGAGATAGTATTATTAAAATTTTAAACGAGGTAAGTCTTTTCTTGTTAAGTTGCTAAACAATTCAAATCATTTCGAGTAATTAGTAATTAAAATCCAATAAGATAAAATTTTTCTAAATAACTAAAGGCTACTATGTTTAGGTAAAAAAATGAATAAAAAAGACATGCTATGGACCCTTTGCATAAAAATAGTATTTACTCAAATCCGCTCAGAACAATGTAAAGCAATGTAAAGCTAAAATATATGCTCAGTTGTAACTGACCAGTTTGACTGTTCAGTTACAACTGAGCGTATAGTGAACTTTAGGTTGGACGTGTAGCGAGCATCTCGTGTTGAAAATATTGAAAATGCCTATAAATATATGTTTCTCTTAGGTACTGACTAAGCCCGCTGAAGCCGCAAAGCAACAGATGAGCAAAAGATGCCAGGATATAGCTAAATTTATGGAAAGCCTTCTGGAAGATCAGCCAAAGAATGATGATGATAGTCGCGTAGAAATGCAAGATCCAGATCTCAGTTATTACGTAAGATTTAACACAGAAATATATATGTACAAATTCTTATAAATTTCATATAAATAGATTGTAGGGAGTATATCTAGATGGTGCATAAATATCTATCAACATGTTAAAATACTTTAGATTTAAATCCAAGTAAAGCTAAGTTTTGTTAAGTAAATTAAACATATGTGAATATTGTAAAAGAAACCGAAAGAAATAATTTTGTGCTTTCAATAAATATAAACGATGTGTCTTATATAATAGCGGAATTAAATTATTTGATAATGCGCAAATTACCTTATTATCCATAAAATATATAGGTTTTGACAACCTATGATCTAGACTAGGTCTTATTGGACAAGATACTATCTTATTCAAAGTAGATATTACAACTATTTTACTGTCTTTAAATCCCCATTGGGCATGTTTTCCCTAGCAATCCTTGGTAGTGTAGTAAAACGGTAGTTAACAGTAGGTTGGTATTACAGGAACGTGATTCAGTGATGCTGGGAGGTATATCTCCTCACCACGATTATAACGACAGCAAATCGAGTACTGAAACTCCAGTCAGCTACAATCAGCTTAACTACAACGATACATTGCAAAGGTAAGAAAAATGCTTTTAGAATCCACAATTATATGGAATATGTTGCTTTTTAAGGTTAATTATATTGTGCGACTGAACAGCTATTTTTGAGTTAATATTCGGGGAGGAGAGCAGAAATTTTTTTTTGTTTCATTTTAAAGATACAACTTATCAACATAATTTAGGGATTAAATAATTTTTGAGTTATCTTTGTGGATAATAGGAATTAATTACGTTTTAATATTTCTCAATAGTATATATCAATTTTAATTTTTTCGATTACCTAACAGGGGGCATCGGGCAAGTGTAAAAGAACTCGTAGAAGTTAATTTAATTGTAATAATACCTGTGCTTCGATTAATTGAGAAATATACTTTAATGTTGTACTAAGTTACATGTAATTATAAAATGATTGTTTTTAGGTATTTCGAGAGTCATCCATCGAGTTCGTACGAAGAGTACAATACTGTGACCGGTGAAAATGTTTTGGGAATGCAGGACCCGATTACAAAGTGAGTTATAAAACTGATCATGATCAGTCACCATTGATCATGATCAGTCACTACTGATCATGATTTGGTTCGATTAGGTCTTTCATGTTCTGGTTAAAAACCGTATCGATATGAAAGAGATGTTAATATCAATTACGGATTGGAATGTAAAACTATTAGAAGGAATGAAACGGTAGTGTATGCGAGAGGGTGTGTGAGCGAGATGGAAGATACAGTTGAAGAACAAAAGGTGACCTTGACCGGTTAACGTCTTGTGAAAGAACCAAAAAAAAAAAATTATACTTATACTTATATATATTATAATAAAGCATAAACACACACTTATTTGTTGCCTAAGATGTCAGCAATTGCAGCATATTTTTCAATAATTCTTTTTTTAATAAAAAGCCCTATACTTACATCACGCTTTAAGCTATATATTTTCACGCCTTAAACATAGGTGGTATATATCTTGGATAAAAAACCCTAATGTGGGAAAGAGACCATAAGTTGCTGCCAACATCAAGGAAACAAGGTTGCCATGCTTTGTCCTCATGTCATTTTGACATTTGCAATTGATAATTTGACACATGTAAACAATAAAATAAAATTTTAATAATTTTATGCGTATGCAGCCGCACGGGAACAGCTAGTAATTATACGATTAGTTCGTTATGGTTAAAATTATTATTTTACTTTTATAGGGAGCGTATAACACCACCGACGATTATAGTAGATTTTGTTGATGATGATGGAAAACCAACGAAGGGTGATGAAAATAATCGAAACTCTATTGGAGATTATCAGCCGATTCGACTCACGGAATCCGTTTTATCAAAGTAAGTTATTACTGACATTAGCCAACGACTCCGTCCGCGAGGAATAAAAAAACAAAAGTGAGTAGCCTATGTGTACTTCAAGATTATCTACAACTATGCCAAATTTCATTGAGATCCGTTCAGCTGGTTAGGCTACAAGCTCTAACAAACATCCATCTCAACTTTCGCATTTATATTAGCAAAATATAAACTTATGTCTTATTTTATATTAAAATATAACGTGAAAATTGTATTTCGTGTGTAAACATGTCTTATTTGGATATTTTTTTATAGACATAATGCGGTAATGATTAAGGAACTTGTAAAGATACATCGAGAAAACCGCTCTAGTAAGGGTGACAAAGAGAAGCATTCTAATGAAACTAGACAGAAGAAGAAAGAGCATTTAGCTAGATGTAACGCTTCTTATCAACCGACATCCGCTGGAGTGAACATTACTATGTCACAAGTGAGTTAAAAAATCTGTCTATACTAATATAATAAAGCGTAAACACACACTACTCCGTGGCGTGAGATGTCAGCAATCAATGTCAATCAATCATATAGGCGAGGTTTTTCGTCTTTTTATGTTTTTTTCAATATTTGGTATACTAAATTACATATATGAAATATATCTGCGCTACATTACCGGATATCTTTTTCTGGCAATTGAAAATTATTTCTGTGTAGTCCAATTTTATTGGAAACTAGCTTTTCGTCAGCATGAAGTTGGAAAATAGTAAAAATATAGCCTATGTTACTCACAGATAACGTAGCTTTTTAATGGTGAAAGAATTTTTGAAATCGGTCCAGTAGTTTTTGAGTTATTTCAATACGTACAAAAATACAAATCTTTCCTCTTTATAATATTAGTATAGAATTAAATCGTAAAGCAAATTTTTTCGTTCATAACCACTTTATAAAACATTTGTGTTTATTTACGTTGATATTCTCTTTATATCACAGTTTGACATAATCTGTCGTTAATTAAAAACAGACCTACTATGATACATTTGAACTGAAAATTGTTAATGTACGTGTAATTGTATTTTCCAGCCGCAAGGAGTGAAACGGTCTTCAAAACAAATTGATCTTGAATCCGTAGCACATAAGCACCATTGTACCACTCCACGACAAACCCGTCGCAAACAACCTATAACAACAATGCCGCATACTATAACAACACCGGCGACAACCATTGGTAAGGACATGCAAGACAAAGAATTTATTTTCCAAACCACCTAACTGTTATTGTACAGCACCATCGTTAAGAGCTAGAAAATGCTAACGGGTTTTCAGTAGATTTTCTCTTCTGACAAAATAAAGACGTATCAAAAAGTGGACATTTAAAAAAAAATCATATTTTGTCAGAACGAATATAGCGTAGTTTAGTTTTTGGTCATTATGGGCGATATTGTAATTTTCCTCTTTCCTTTGTCATTCAGTAGATGTCACATAATGCCAGATGGGTTTAGAAAGCTTTAATCTATGCAATATATGGAAAAAATTAGCGGGAGACTAAAGGTTAACGCACAATAGTCAACTCCTAGTCCACCTGGCACCGCACGCAGCGTACCCTTGCTATTGTTTAAGTGTTTCCAATTAAACGTGATAGATTCAATGTATTTATTGGCAATGTGTCCATTTACCATAAATACGTCTGCATTGTGAATGGACGACTCGTCGACGTATCGCGTCAATTCCGGGGCAGTGCGGTAGGCGAGGACTAGACATGTGCGCGTCAACCTTTATATTTTTTTAATGTAGATTAGTTTTCTGCTAAAATTATTGGAATAACGACACTAATCAGAATAAACTAGGCATAAATGCGTTTGTGTATTTATAATTCATATTGGTTCGGTAGCTCCAACAGCCTGGACGTCAAACCCCATGAACGCGTATATCTTGGGCGTTGGAATACCGCAACAAATGTCAATCGTCAGTCCCGTAGCCGCTATGCCAGGTATTATCATTACATTTCTTAGTATTTATTAATATTTTTTTTATTTGCTTGCTTGATACTAATCTTTTTTATGCAAAGCTGTATTGTTTTCGTAATTTGCACACAAATTTGAAAATAGTATGGCAACTTATTGACAACTTGTTGATGTCTATGGTTTTAGTGTCGCTCTTTTAGTGGAATTAATAAACTAGCTGTTGCGAATTTGCCCGCGTTAAATTAAAAAAAATAATGAAAAAAAATAACCTATATTACTCACAAATAAATTACCTTTCTAACAGAGATAGATTTATTAAAATCGGCCCAGTACTTTTTGAGTTATTTCAATACATATAAAAATCCAAATCTTTCCTCTTTATCGAACGAACTTTAAAAAACGAAAAATAAAAAAAATTCAATTAATTATGCAATAGATAGTCAAAATAACATTAATAAAGGAGAAATAAAAAAAAAGTATTACAAGATCGACTTTCCATCTTACTTCTGACTAATATTATAATTACGAAAGTTTAGATGGATGGATGTTTGTTAGAGTTTGTAGCCTAAATTTCTGAACGGATTTCATTGAAATTTGACATATATGTATAGATCATAGTCTGGAAGAACACAAAGGCTACTCACTATTTTTTTCTAATTCAGCGCGGACGGAGTCGCGGGCGAAATCTAGTAATTTATATTTGTACGTTGTGCTCATAAGGCATGCGTACAACTGACATAAAACATCGATACTTGGTAGACCCTAACCGAGTCTAAGTTCGATAGTGAGAAACGCAAGCTTATAGCAAAAATGACAGACTTATTACTAACAAGTTTTATTTTTTTTAACGGATCTTTACTGGACTTATTTGTATAACCTCAAAATCGTATAAGTGTTATAGTGGGACTTATTATTTTTAATTAAATTTCCAGGTATGTTTCCAATGCACTACATGCAGCCACATGTACCGCAAATGCAACCAAGTACATCTACAAGCAATGCAGTGCCTGGACCTAGCATGGGACAACAATATCAAGAACCACCAAGTAAGTTCACTACTTTCTATTAATTTAATTTTTATATCTCACTAGCTTTCGTTCGCGACTCCGTCCGCGTGGTATTAAATATCAAAAGTGAGTAGTCTATGTGTTCTTCCAGACTATACGTCTATACCAAATTTTATCCAGATCCGTTCAGCAGTTTAGGCTACAAACTCTAACAAACATACATTCATCTAAACTTTCACATTTATAATATTACTAGCTTTCGCCCGCGACTCCGTCCGCGCGGAATTAAAAATAAAACAAAAGTGAGTAGCCTATGTGTTCTTCCAGACTATCCTCTACATCTACGCCAAATTTCATCGAGATCCCTTCAGCCTTTTAGGCTACAAACTCTAACAAACATCCATCCATCTAAACTTTCGCATTTATAATATTAGATATGATGGACCGTCAAAGTCAAAAATTATCGACCCTTTTAGAAATAAATATCAGCTCGTATGTATGTTATGCCAAGTTTTAAATACACCGAACAATGGGTAGGAAATTACAGTCCTCGACTACATTCTGTTAACCTTATTATGCCTATATTATTGTGACTTATAGTATAAACTGCTCGACGGATTTTGAATTTTTGGAATGTTCTTTGAAGTGCCCTACTTATTGTGATATCTGTTTGATTATACACTAGCTTTTGTCCGCGACTTTCCCTGCGTGGAATTAAAAAACGAAAGTGAGTAGCCTATAGTTCTTCAAGATATCCTTTACATCTATGTCAAATATCTAGATCCGTTCAGCAGTTTAGGTTACAAACTCTATCAAACTTTCGCATTTATAATATTAGTAAGATTACTAATTGAAATATTTAATAATGATTTTGTTTTAGTGCAAGGAATGATGTACGGCCAAGCAATGTACGGATCGCCGTTTATGTACTCGCCTATCAATCCGCAAGTTACGTACCCAGTGGCACAAAACTTTGTACCATCGCATGGAGTCCAATATGTAAACCACTTAAATGCACTTGACTTAGGGGACCGCAATTATGTGGAGGTAAGCGACTAATAGCTTCCATCTGTTTCCGTGTCTAACATTATCTTAATAGAAAATCATGTTTGCTTGGAAACGTACGCTCTAACCCTATTAATTCTTTCACACTTAGCGAAAGTTTTTATCGCCCCATTTCTTTGCTTCTAGAGTTTGGAATCTAAAAGATTCTTTGCTTCTAGAGTTTAGAATCTGAAAGGTTGTAATTAATAATTGTTTCTTTTTTTTTCTTCATTCTTTCTATTTTACTACACAAGATAACGATAACATAGTTTGCATTTAATAGTTTCAAATGAGGGTAAAACATTTTTGGGCTACTAATGTGATGTCGTTTTATGTCTTATGTTTCCACGTAATGCCATATGTCTATGGTAAATCAACTGTGTTATTTGTAAGAAATTGAAAACATATTTGTAATTGAATGTTTTCAAAACATCTGTGTGATGATATTTAATCTAATTTATTGACAATAAATTTTGTGTGATGATTGCATATTTTTATAATAAAATGTTATTTGGATAAACGGCTTTTTCTCGGATAACATAAGCATGCAGTAAATGGATGTACATTGTCGGGTTGTGTGTGGACAAAATACGTTAAGACCACAATAGTGTTTTTTTATAGTTAACGTTTAAATGTTAATTTTTTAATTGAAAATCGAGGTGTTTTTAATGAAAGACAAAGAAAGATTGGGAAGGATGAAATGAAATGTCTCTAAACTCACATTCCCGCAGGATGAATTTAGGTCTCAATATTACTATCTACATTTTACCAAAGGCTTCCATTGTTTTGACACTTGTATTAACACATATTGTTGTGATGTTTTTTTAAAGATAATGTGATTTTGATCATTTAAGTCGAAAATGACAGTCAAATTTAACATTTACAGCTCCGATGTGATAAGTATCGCATGTTTTTATGATATTTTGTGAAGTTTTTTCATCATTTTTATATTTTTTTTTGAAAAACCATAGTAATTGAGAAGTTAGTCTACTAGGGTACTTCGGTGCCCTAATTTTACCATTCCCAGATCAATTTGTATGCCTTAATAAATAAAACATCCTTTGTGAATTCAAGTGAAAATCTTTTACTGTCTTAACCATTAGGGATTACAGACAGGAAAGGTTTACCACGATTTTTAAATACGCCAACTTCGCATGTTTTGATAATACAACACATGTTTTAAGATAAATATTGATCCCTATGCTTCTGTTGGAAATTGTTCTTATGTAATAATGTTTGTACAGTCAAGACATATTTGGTTGCCAGTCCTAAGCCTGGAGAAAGTATGAAGGGAAATTTTAATCATTATTAAAGGTTTCGGCCTGTGATTTATTTATTACCTTTTTATTTTGTTTAAATTACTTATTAATTAATTTATGTTATTTCAAGTATGCGTGCACTTCTAAGATGCCGCTCACATCGTTTATCTGTAATTATTTTCCATATCATCAAAAATATTCGATATGTGTGATACTGGCAACATGAACGTCCCTACCAAATATGTTGATAATTTACTTAGGTTAGGACAAAGACTAACAACACTAATCATTCACAATTTCACTCATTCTGCAGCCGATTCATCCTGCTTTATCATTATTAATTGCTTACAAATATATTAAATATATGGGTAATTGTACGGTCGAAGTTGTAGCAGAACTAGGTGTAATATTAGAATGCATATGCAGGCGTGTAAGACAAGGTTGCCTATGAAGAGCGGGAAAACAAACTTTGGATATAACAGGAAGGGAAGGAAACGAGAAAATCAAGGAAATGTTCAAGGAAGCTTATTGAGTAATTCTTCAGCGAACGCTTCATACATGGTATGCGATTTTGAACATTATTGTCGAATAAACCTTAGTTTTTTTTTCTGAGTTTTGAACATTTGGTAAGGTAAGTTTTTGTGCATAGCACTGGGGTTTTGATAATTCAGTGAATAACTTATTTCTGTTAGGATATCAAATTTAATTTCTCAAATAAGTTGTTTTACTGTCCCTACTTATTGATTTCAGTCGCAAATTTTCATTTATGATAGAGTTGTTCAATAATCAACTCTGGAATCCTCTAATGTGATGCCAATTCCTTGGAGTAAACGAGGTTAACACATTATTCACTACTTCTTCTCTCTACGAGAATATCTCCAGTTAAACTTCATTTAATATTTTCCGGCGAAGATTGATAGAGTTTATATTTCCTTAGTTTCTATTGTCCGTTTCTCTTGTAGGACTCGAGCGCTCTAAGTAGCGATAAAAGTGGGATCAGAAAATCGCCGGATAATTCATCAGACTTCAGTTTCTTCAGGACCAGTTTCAGTGTAAAGGTTAGGGAAATGCTGAATTAGGTCCATTTTATCTTACATTTCGTTTCACGATTACTATTTATATCTGTCTTATAATGAGATATCTCTTAGTTATTCTGTTTTTCATATTAATATTGATATAAGTGTTATAGGTAAGATTTTTGGTTATATAATTCATATTCATTATTCGGTGTCATGTGCTTTTTATCTGCTATGTGATATGATGCCGCTAGTATAGATCATACTAACATTAGTATATTTAGATTTAAATCGTAGTAGTACCTTCTCCAATACTTTATACGTTGCTATGTTTAAATGTTTCTTTCTTGTTCCCGAAGTCGAATAAAAACTTCCTTAAAACGAGAGGTTAAAATTACTAATTAAAGTAAGAACACGAAAGCGTATATTGCGTACCAATATCGTCACATAGATTATTGTGATGCCATGAAAAGCAATTATTTTTATTGTATAAAAGTCTGTTTTAGTCAATTTTTTTATTGTGTAAAAAGGTACCATGATTCAGCGATGGTTTGGTTTCAAAAGAAAATACAGCATGGTTCATATATGAGTGTGATTTTTTTTAAGAATTATTATGTCTTGTGTATTTCAGTTATTTGTAAAATTTATTTGTGTGGCATTTTTTTTTTATATGCTTGTGTTAAGACATGTTTCTTTTACCGTGAGTTCGCACTGCTTATACTTAAAGACAAATCGTGTGTTTACTAAAACGTGATCGTGGTTATTTAAAACCGTGACTTCGTCCGCGTGGTATTAGATAACAAAAAGCTACGTATCCCTCGGGAACCAGACATTTCTCAGGGTTGAACCTTATCCCATGTGTATTCCAGACTTTGTTTTATATCTGTGCCAAATGTCCATAAGATATGTTGAACCGTTGCAGAATAATCGAATAAACATTAAAAAAACTAAATTAATGAATCCCACGGGAACCGTAACTATTCCCGGGATAAAAAGTAGCCTATTTGTTCTTCCAGACTATGCTCTAAACCTGTCCTAAATTTCTTGGAGATCCGTTCAGCCGCTTAGGCTACAAACGCTAACAAACATCCATCTATCCATCGTAACTTTCGCATTTATAATATTTATATGATAATGGAGTTACGAATAACGAAAGGTGATAAGTTTTAAGATTTATCCAGTCATTACTTATTGATTGTCTTGTTGCAAACTCACGGTAATAGATTGCGAGGTGTACGTGCATTGTAATATAGTTTGAGTTATTGTTTGTTAACAGAGTGTAAAGGCGGTACATGACATAACGCAAAATGATGTATCTCAACCTACTAGACCTACCAATAGCGAGGGAACGATAGAGAAAACTGACGAAGATTCAAGTTATTCGTCGTTTTATTCATCTTTCTTTAAAACTGAATCCGGAAGCGCCGAAGAAAGTAATGATACTAAAAAGCGCGGTAAAGAAAGTAAAGTAAGTGTCCACTTTTTGTTTTGTGTTGAGCATGACAGAGAATATTTAAGGTTAACGCGCACTTGTCAACTCTTCGTTCACCCGGCCCTGCCTCGTTATCGCAACGTTCACTCGTCAGTGCCTCGAGATTTCCATTAGAGCGGGATAAAGATATATAATTATGATAGGTCGTTCTCGCTAGTACGGGAGGAGGTGGTGCGTGAGACGCCCGCGAGCCATTCACTTGCCATAAACGCGACCGCCTTGCTTGTGGTATAAAAAAGAATGGAACGAAAATAAAAATAAATAATATACTATATAATGAAACTAGCTTTTACTGTTTTAGCTAGCGACTACCTTCAAGTAATTAAAAAATAGGAAATAGCCTATGTCTTCTTCCAGACTGTGTCCTATATACCAAATTTCGTTCAGAAAATACACATCATACAAGACCCGTTCCAATTTTTTTTAAATATTTTTGATAATTCCAGAGCGCTTGCGATTCGGGAAGTAGTTATCCAGGATATAGTAAGGCGCCAGCGAAGAAAGGACCCCTAAGGAAAATGCAACCACCGTGGATGGAACATGTAAGTAATGCTAGGGCCCTAATATCCCGATTTCCCCCATTCCCGAAAAGAAAGTACGCGTTGACGTCTGGAAATTTGTCCTATCGCGAATACAAAGTACACTTCTTTTCCTTGTTGCTAAATTTCCTAACAATAATATATATCGCATACATTGCATTTTGATCGGTTACATACATTTCATGCGTACAGTTGACTGCGAAATACCGATCTACTTCCTTATTATAAAACGGGCCAATGTAGTATTAATAGTACTTATTAAAGTAACAATTATGAAGCAACATTAGGTGTCAAATTACAAGAAATACCGTTTGAATTGCTTTTTTTATTATTTTCTTTACCGTTTCAGGTGTGCGTTACATCCGAGCTCATTTACAAATATCAAATTCAAACTAAAAGCAGGGAGGAAGTTTTGTTGTCTGATAAGCTGAAATTAAAGCAATTGGAGCAGGTATGGTTGTTAATTATATGAACAGTGTTAGTCCGCTTTAATATCTTCGTACTAGGCCGGTTCGACCCACGTGATACAACGACCACACAGAAGACAGGCGTCAAGAAGCAATACCGCGAACACCCCGATGTGTGTGGTATCTGAGGACTAATGTTGGTCCCTTTTCTTAACCATCATTTCCTTGTACAGTAAGGATGGGAAGGAAAAGTAGATTTGACGGTTGAGGAGACGCATAGGAAGGGGTGATATCCTCTGTGTGCGTGTTCTCCGTTAATTAAGAGTAGGCAACGCTTCTGCAAATGAGGATGTAAATGGCCGCTCGCTCGTTTGCCACCTTATATTAAAAAAAAATGATTACTCCCAGTGGTTGAATATGTGCATAATAGTCGATGTTAATATGTAATTGTTTTTATTTTAGCCATCATTAGTGAACGAGCAATTAGGTCAGTTATATCTGGACCTTCAGTTAGAAGGTGTAGCATCAAGGTTGACACTTGAAGAGGGTATCACGAGTTCCAGTAGTTCGGGCGAAGAGAATTTTGTGGGAGTTTCTAAGGTTTGTTTTGTGCTAATTTTTTTCTGTGGTGTTGGTCATTGAAGTGTATTTGGCTAAGGTGGCAACACTCTTGTCAAGTTAGTTCTATCCGAGCCACCGACGGGAGTAGACGCGATCAGCACAATACTATTTATTTTGCTTAAATTATCAAAGATGTCTTAAAATCTATCAACATCTATTGGTGCTCAAACCGTAGTAGTGGCAGCCTATAGCGTCCTCTACTCGAGTAAACAAAGAAATTTTTCTTTTTTTTTTCGTTATAACGAGCATTAAAACATTTGGAAGCTACTAACGCCTTCAAGTTAAGAGACACAATTTTAGTTAAATTTACTATCTTATGTATTGTATCTGGTTTTATTTTTAGTAATTCTGTTGACGTAGACATCTCCCTTTTTGTGTGAATTGGGTGTTTTCTGTTGGAACGATCATCCCATTTGGATTTTCCAATGGGAAACACCCTGACTGTTACCCATACTACAATTAGAAAGAAAATTCGTATTTTTGTATGTATTGTATGCTATTTTTTTACTATTTTTTGTTTCACGCGAACGCAGACGCGAGCAACAGCTAGTCTTATCTAATAAAGCTTTTGTTTGTTTGCAGTCACAAAAGAAGAAACGCGAGTACAGCAAACTGGTGATGATATTCGAAGAGAACGCACCCCTCCCTCCCCCGGATTCTCCCCCAGCAGCTTCAGTGTCGTAACATTGTGACAATTATGTCACCGGTAAAATTTCTGTCAATAATTGACGCACAAATGTTAGAAATTGAAATAATTTTGACTCATGTGTGATATGAGTCGGGATATGTCTGGATATTACGACGCAATTCCTAATAATACTGTCGGGTTTAATTTTTTTGACAAGAATTATCAACTTTTTGGGAAAATTTAAGAATGTTGACGGTTGAAAAAACAGTCAATAATTGTTGAACAACTAACACTCGTAAAGACATTTGAGCAAAAAACAATATTTTTGATATATGTATGTTAAGTAATTTTAGATATGTTCTTTGAATATTAAAATTAAAATTCTATTGCTAGTTATAATTAATATAAGGATTTAAATAAGTAATAATAATTTTAAGTAAGTAATAAGTTTAAAGTATGTAAATCTGAAACGTGCTACTAAAGGTCCAGTTGAAGCTTGAATGCAATATAAAAAAAATTTGGATATCGATAAATCCAGAACAAGTTTAAGAAACTTCTCATTGTAATTATATTATTTAATAATTACGATGTTATTTTTTTTGCAAACTATACAACACTGCCTACCTATGGTTTACGCGTTTACGTTATATTAAATTTGACGTTAATATTAAGTAGTGTTCTTTTATTATTTACTTTGATACTTAAACATAGTTTTAAATGAATATACTAAACTCATTTTCTCAATTTTATAATCAATTAAAAATTATACGATGTTTGCATATTTTGTAAAACACTTTTACAAGAGAATAATGCTATTTGAAAAATATTTTCTTCATACTATTATTGCTAAGGGGAGATCAAAAAAAAATACGTTTAAACTATTTTTAATTCGATTAGTATTGTGCAATAATATTTTTCGTAAACAGCCAATGTCACAAAAAATTCAAGTTACCGTTAATTTATGTTAAAATTGATTTAATCATGTTAAAATAAATGTTAAGTTTGAATCGGATTTATTTTTTTAGAAAGATTATGTTTTTGTTTCTTTTAATTTATATATGAGTTTAAAATTCGAGTAGATAATGAAATATTGTTTTAGATATTGCGTTTCGTATCCAATAGTATTTTAATCATTATAAGATAAGTTTATAAACGATAAATAAAGTACATATGCCAATAGTAAATACCCTTGTCCAGTTACTGGCATGTGAACCCTAACTTGCATGCTATGGTAGCTAGCACGATGATTTTGTGACAGCTACGTTCATGTTATTTAAGGGAAGATGGGTACGAAACTGGACACTGGCGTCTCGTACGATCTCATTGTCTTTATACTGGCATGTGTATACGCAATGCGCCAGTTGCTGGCATGCCAGCTAATACTTTTAAGTGTATTTCCACCTTAATATCTCACTTTGGATACTATTTTTGGCCACGTATCTTAACATCTTTAAAGACAACATTGTTTTACATTTCAACGTTGTATTATCGTTTAATATCTTAAACGTTAGTTTATAAATAAATTCCTATAATTATAAATTACGTAAAATAATGATATTAAATATAGTGTTGGAATAAATACTTGAAGTTTTTTTTTGTTAAGCCATTACCTACCATTTTTATTATTACCAGCTGTCTCTAATAATGAGCCCGGAGCCTACTCTACGTTAAGTCCTCGGTTGACACACACCTTTTAATTTCTTCGCCATTATGTACAAAAAATGGTACATGGCGGGATTTGAACCTAGGAAATGTAGATTACAAGTCAAATGCTTAAACCCCTGACCCACTGACGCTCTTTATCTATCTATATTATTATTATAAAGCGTAAACGCACACTTCTTTGTTGCCTTAGATGTCAGCATATTTTTGAATAATTCTTTCATTAATTAAAAGCCCTACACTTACGTCACGCTTTAGGCTATATAATTTCGCGCCATTAAACTTAGGGGGTGAATATTTTGGATAAAAACCCTTGGTCTAGGTGGGGTAGCGGTCAAGCGCTGGTTTTTGGAATTTAAAAAAAATATGTGGGAAAGAGACCATAGGTTGCTGCGAACATCAAGGAAGCAAGGTTGCCATGGTTTGACTACATGTCGTCATTTTGACATTTGCAATTGATAATTTGACAAATGTTAACAGTAAAAAGAAATTTTTATATTTCATGCGGATGAAGTCGCATGGGAACGACTGGTCATGCTAATATTATAAATGCGAAAGTTTAGATTGAAGGATGGATGGATATTTGTTAGAGTTTTTAGCCTAAACGGCTGATTGGATTTCGATGAAATTTGGTACAAATGTAGGGGAAAGTCTGGAGAAACACATAGGCTACTCACTTTTGTTTTTATACTACGCGGACGGCGTCGCGGGCGAAAGCTAGTATTTTTATATTTAATTAATAAAAAATATAGCATATTGAATAATAAATATAAAAGTCCGAAGCTGGTAATGCAAAGCAACTTAGACCTCAATATAATGTTAAGTTATTACTGTAATTTTTAATAAGCAACTTCATTTAAGTTTTCTTAGGGATGAGGTTTTTTAAATGTCATATAGGTAACAAAACAGCCTTTAGCTGGATACCTAAACAGGTTTATAGACACATTTCGTTCCAGTCCAATCCTGTTTCCACATATGGATTAATTTATCATCCATTCCACATTCTTTGTAAAGGTCATACCAACATATGTCTGGAAGACACATTACTGTATGTACATGACACCTGTATAAGGAAATTCTTACCTGCTTTCCTTATTATAATGAGAGTGATGGGAATATTAATAAAAAAAACAACGTGAATCTGCCCATCCATATCCGCGAAAAATCAAAGTTGTTCAAGTCAATCAATCTGCACTGGGCGCGGCTTTAATCGACTTTTTAAGGACTAGTTATGTCAACATTTATGTGGCTCAGTCTACCCTGGAAAGTTTTGATGGGGAATAAGAGAATTATCGACCATACTTGACAGTTGTTCGCTATAAAGGGAGAAAGTAGTGGTAAGACTATAAGCGAATTGGATTAACACCTTTCTATTGCATTGAATAATTATTTTATTACGCATAATTTTAATATAATGTTTACCATTTGAGATATAATTTTAAAATAAGCAAATGTTAGTAGTACGATACAAACTAAAAATCGCACTAATACACTCGTTATTGTACTGGACTTAACAGTTGGCTATATGCATAGAATTGTATTTCACCGCTACTCACACACACATCGACAGTTGGCCATGTTTATGCACTGTAATTACATTCACACACACAAGCGCGCAGCAACACTAACACATACGAGACTCTACCTGCGCAAGAGTCGCATTCCGTCACCCACCTCCGCGATTGGCCGTCGAGCCTCTAAAGGCTTTGAGACAGTGTCACAATTTTTTTTTAAATTTAGAAAGTTGGTTCAAGTGTTTGCTTTGTTACCACCATGTTTTAACATTAATGTAAGTATTAACGTGTTTTACTTTATTTTTGAAAGTGTGGTACAATTAAATGTTTTCTCTTATCATATTGTTGAATCATTTTACGTGCTTATATTTTCATATCAGAAATGTAAATTAGTATATAAGTTGAGGTAACAAAATATTACCGTTTTAAAACGTTATTTTTTAAATGAATTACAAGTAATCTATATAAATCAAAAGACACGATGGAGTAATCACGTGAACTGAATATAATCTAGAAGGTGTGATCTTACAGTTTTTCTCGATATTCTTGTCGCATGAGTAATTTTAAAGCACAGTGGAAAACGTTACAGAGATGTTAAGGTTTTCTTTTTATTAATTCTGATGTCATCTTAAGATATTTAGTAAATCGTCTTAAGATATAAAAAATATAATATATATTAACTATTAAAGTTATCTTTATAACTTGAATAATTTAATGGCCGCGAAAGAATCTTACAGCACGACGCAAAATATAAAAAAAAACATTTTCCTTCGAGGTCAGCGTGTTAACTCAATGATACGGAAAACAAACTGGTTACTTGTACTTATACGTACTTAAAAACATGTACTTTAGGCTACAGTTGCCTTGTTTTCTTCTTATTAGCGTATTTTTGTCATTTACGAAAATTAGTTAATGTTTAAAGTTACATTGACAAAATGTTTAAAGTATTTGATAAACAGACGCATATTTTTAACCTTGTTCATATTGGTCATATTTAAAAAAAGTCTGTTTATAGCAAAGTTCTCCCACACACGTCCAAACTATAACGCTAAGGTCTAAAAGCTTGCAATAACTACTAGTGATAAAAATAACGAAACCTGGAAACAATACATGGAATGAGGGGTCCTTCTTTCCCCGTCTATACCCATCTCATCTCTAAGGTCATTGGTCCCATTTAGCCTTTACTCTTACCACTCACGCTCACGCGTCTTAGACGTGGGTTTCAGCCGTGAAAGCCTACTGTTAATAGAATAACAATTAAAACATTGTCGATATGGTACTTACCAGATTACATCTCCTAATTCAAGGTAGTAATAGATTTCATCATCATCTCCTTGTCCCAAGTCGGACCGGCGTACAAACGTTTTGGCATTATTTTTGCGGCCAGCCTTCTTTTCAGAAGCTCTGATTGCAAATTTTGAATACGTTATAAGTCAGTCATCGCCAATTTTAATTACTTTATTGGGTTTAGTAATTTTTTTTGTGAAACAATTTGAACAATTCTTGATGGTATAATTAATATTTAAAGTACTTTAATCATTACTATAATTTAGTCTTTCTACAGAATACCACAGATAAGTGAGTCATTTGTAATTAAACAATATTTCTAAGATTACACAATGACGTATTTAAACATGCAAATTAAGTAATTGTAAGGATATTAATGGCACATTACAAGAACTTGACTTAAGTAGAAATGTAAGTAACTTAATCAAGTTACAAAACAACTCATGTTATAATAATAGAAATTGACGCTGAAATATGATGACACGGAGCGGGTTACCTGTATAGTTCACATTTTATAAGGTCTTCCAATCGTAAAGTAACCAGAAATGGGCTAAAAACATACACCTACGTTTCAAAAAATTTAGATCATAAAATAAAATTGCATTGATGCCTACATATAGCTAATAGTTTCCCACAGGCTTATACAGCTGCATTGATTCAAAATAAATACTAAGTGATCAGTAGGAGTGATTTATAAGAAAGAATTATATTACTAGATTGCAGAGACTGACCCGATATGATGTTCTCGCTGAGATGATTTATGTGACGCATAAACAATCCTATAAAAGTCGTTTGCCTTTTGATGATATGCGATTTATAGTCTTATCATGATTGTTCCTTGAACTTACACGTATCAAAACAAACATTTCTAAGAAGCCTTGTAACCTATATCGCATTAAATTCTTAGTTTTGTCTAAATTCACTATGAAACATGCAAGGACTCTCAAACAGTCTACTTAAAAAATCAATATTGTAGATAATACAAAAATATTTTATTTTGTTACCGAAAAAAGTTACCGAAGAATTGAAATGCTTCACTGTGATATAAAGATTCATTAGGGAGGGCTGCTGACCTCACTTTAGAAACCTAAAATATAACATGGATATTAAAACTAGTTAATTTGAAATTAACCAAAGTAGTAATAGTAGTAGTAGGTGCTACGGTTTCCGCAACTCCACGACTGGCGCGTATTTTGCGTACGAATTAAACCATACTAATCATAGCTGTCCCTTCCCCTTAAACCTTCCCAGAACATCGGCTGATGACGCCCATGGTATGACATTATCACGGTCTCCGTTCTCCGTTCGTTCTGTAAATAAGAAAGAAATAGATATGCAGATAAGTGACTTACATTTAGAGGGAATTTCACTTTTTTTACTTCAATTTTTTTTTATCTTCCACGTGAGATTAATTAATAATACAGCTTAAAATTAATAAACTTAGAGGCATACTACGAGTGCATCCCTTAATATGTTCCAAAGAGAATAATAACATTTAAAAATCTGATATTAATGTTTTTCTTTTGCTGTCATATTCTCGCATGACAAACCTGACGCCGGAATCAAATAACCAAGTCATTTACTAATTACTTCGTGTTAATACAACACCTGCTCACAGAAGCTAATGACCTCTTCAAAGTAAAGAAAGATAAGACATTAGTGTAGCTTGAGTGTCGTACACTTGTCGTCTCTTTCTTACTCTTAGTATAAAACAGCAATAACTATATTATGTTTTTGTACATATTTTTAAAGTAAACCCACAGTAAGAAAATAGTATGTATTTAAATTTGATTAAATTAAACCGTTTGTTAATCTGTTGAATTTACTAAAGAAAGAGATTAAAATCCCTTTTAAAACTTACTGAATTTTGCAATGAACTGAGTTATAACTATTTCCTCTTTTGCTTTGGATCATTATCTCCCCTGTCTTATCCTGCTCCCGTAGTGTCGGCGCACCGGGTTTTCGTGCACCAAATAACTCTATGGTTATCATCTTTTTGGATGTATAATAAAATGAAGTGAAATGACATGAAGAAAAAATATTGTTTGATTATCCAGGGATTAAAATCAAATTCAATGAAAATTAACAATAAACATTTCCGCATCAGAAATGGAATGTTGTATAGATTTTTCTCTTCCTGTAGTTACCAACTTGACGGAATAATCTCGTCTTGTTTGAAAATCATAAAAATTGTTATCACAAACAACATGACTAACGTCGCCAATGTTATTATAAACAACCTTTGTCTCCTTTCATTAAATGTTCGTGAGACAATTCAATATGTAGGCAGGTGAAAAGTCAGTAAGTAGTGTTCGAGGATGATTCGTGCAATATCCGGGACAGACTATTGTTTGCCAATCATATCCGGCTTCGCTGCACTCAACAGAACATTTAATATACTCCTTTTCTAGTCTGCTACAGTTTACATTTATGTCGTTTTAATATTATAATTTTAAACCAAAGATTTACATATAACATTTTAAACTGCTCCTAGTAATTAAAATTTGATGAAAACATTACGTATTTTCGGCGAATACATACTGGGGCTTTTACTTTATTGATGCGTTTCGAGAGTTCACTTAACATCCATTTCAGTAATCCGACCTATGGCTAGTGGTCCTACCATAGTTTTACGAACTAGATTTTAACTCGAACGAACAAATATCGTACTATTATATACGCGGATTCAAAATAATAGTTTTGTATGTTATGACGAGATAAAATCATTTCAATCAATGTTTTTACAGGTTTTATGTCAGTCATTGTCTTTTTCGTTAAGAGTAGATAGTATGTGGTTCTTGAAGTTTTAAAATATTTTATGAAGTGAAAACAGAGTGAGTAAAATTATGGTAGCGGCACCAGATATTCAATACAAAATTTTAACTACAAATTAATTGAATATGTACTTCAATAACCACATTTACAGAAACGCATTTCTATCAAATGTTATAACCACTGGGTGTATTTGTATTTTGAACATAACTACTTAACTGCTTCATACATTTTTCTTCTCACATTCTTCTAATTTAACTCCTAACTGGTTGTTTTACAACGTATTCTACGTTTATTAGTGACATCACAATTAATGTATTAACTAATACTGTACTATATTTGTAGAATTCCCTTACGATTATTCTACGTTTCTCCATTTTTTATTATAACTAGCTGTTGCCCGCGACTTTGTTTACGCAACAATAATATAAAAAATAGCTTATATTATAACCGTCTATGTCAGCTACCCTTCAGTGAAAGTCTGGTCGAAATCATTCTAGCCGTTTCGGAGATTACCCTGAACAAATGCAACAGACAAAAGATTTTTAAATGCGATTTTCGTTACCAGCAACGCAAATACATTATCTTCCTGAAATCTGGGTTTCTTCTTTTGATAATACAAACAGACACTTAAATTTCATTATATGTATTGATAGATAGATTAATATTTAATGTGATATTGTACAATTTGTCTAAATATCAAATAACAAATACATTATAGTTTTCCATTATTTCCCAATAAACTCAAAGAGGATTTGTGTAAATCGCAACACAATGAAGTAAAAGCTCCCAGAATCCATTTGATGCTTTCAAATTGCAATACCAATATCGTAATCCTTTAGTACTTACCTCAAATCTGAGTACTTCGTATCGATGCGAAGACTGTCGGTCTACAGAATCCGACCGCTTATAATTGATGTATTTATAGGCGGTTTTCAAACTACTATTAACCATTCGATAGTGCCTATGGCTCGATAAATTCATAAAATGCGATATGTAACTTTAGTTTTACTCTGTTGAAACGTAGGTTAATCTAAGACTTATGAATGACTAGGTAATGATAAGCTAAATTGAAACTTCAGAAACCATGCATTAGTCGTTTTAGGAACGTAGAATATGGCGTCCATAGATAGCGATCATTTTGATATTTAACTTTTTTAGTTATTTTTTAAAAATTGTGAAATAAAGTAAGGTGATATTGTAAAATTAAGGGCTAATATGGGTAATACTGTAAGCCATTCTGTATGTAGTTATGTTAGAAGAAGTATTGAACAGAAATATTTGGGAATATTCGATTTTTACTTTAAATTCTATTTCATCTATGAGGTTAAAGGTTTGCACAGTTGCAGAATTATGTTTAAATTGAGTCTTATGTCTTCAGACAAAGAAAACACCTTGATACTTGGGTATCTCCTTACTGATTGTTATCGTAACAAGTCGGTAAGGTGTTAATTAACAGCGACGTACCACTGAGTTACGTTTATGGTAGTGTTGTGTGGTACAAATACTAAGTAGTACACATTTCACTGTTGCGTGAATTTCCCTTTTAAATGGTTCTTGAACCACTAACTTCGAGTGGCTTCAATTGATCAAATCAAATTGCTACAATTTTCGGCGTAAATAAGTTTTATTTCTTAACTAGCTTTCGCCCGCGACTCGGTTCGCGTGGAAGAAATAAAAAGTTAGTAACTTATGTGTTCTTCCAGACTATTCTCTACATCTATGCCAAATTTCAACAAAATCCTTTTAGCCCTTTAGGCTACAAACTGTAACAAACATCCATCTATCTAAACTTTCGCATTTATAATATTAGTCAGATTTTTGTTTCTCATGCGGTTGTTATATTCAAAATTAATGGCAACAGACGCCGCGTTTATTCGTTTTATTTTTATTTGTATAGATTTCGTTATCATTTCAAATACATCATATTTCATACATACCATGTTATATTTAAAACGATGCTTTCTTTTCTGCGAATGGAGCCAAAAGATATTTATTTTTAAATCAAGAGTTGCGTATTATTTATTGGACAATGCAACATAGAGACCATAAGAACATACGACCGTCGGTAGCAAAGACTCTATTCGCATACAAATGAGATAAAACAATCAATTTTATAGTCACCATTCTCGTAGCCATGTCTCACTTTCCTTAATGTTTTTGTACCTATCGATGACTTAAATAATCATACCTCCCATTTCAATGTTATTTACAGTTACTTTATTTAAGTGGAAAGTTACGAGCTCAAAATTGCATGAACTGCCGTATATTGTTCACGGTAAATAAGCTAAAAATCTAAGTTACGTGTTTATCGTAATTTGTACTATGAAAATAAAATCATTGATAAAACATGCTTCGTACGTGATCGATCGCTGAGGCTCCAAGGTGAACTAGTGGTTAGATCACGGCATACCTTTAGTGTCACGTTTAAAAATTTATCATCTTCACTATCTTAAGATAAAGGAAACCGAAAATATAAATTAGTAAATCAATGTTCGAAATGACAAAAATAGTTATTGTTTCATTCACATTAAATGACCATTAGGTTAGTAAAAAAAAAAACATATCAGGGTTTATACGATTGGATAAGATACGAAATGAGTATATTAGAGGAAGTTTGAGAGTAGCCCCAGTGGTTGAGAAAATAAGGAGTAAAAGGTTAGAGTGGTATGGGCATGTTATGAGAAGGGATGAATCGCATTTCATCATGTCGGTCATTTCGGCATCATCATCTAGACGTATTCATGCATATTAAAATACAGAAGTTGCATACAATTCTGGGAAGAAAGCTCCGATACTATACTTACATAGGTACACATTTACAAAGGTACACGTATGAGTAACTGACATTCGTATTTCTTATTTTTCTTGTTAATCCTGTTTGTAAGTATTTCTTAGCATATACGTTAAAACTATAGTGACTTATTATCTTTTTCTTTTATTAAGAAACAAATGACCCGTACTTATTAATCATGGTCTGTTGGTATTTCCCAATTAATTTGTTATTTTCTTGAAAAACATTTGCTAGAATAATATGTTACAGTATTTTTTTGCTAAGAACAAATAATATTATATGGTACGAATTTCTTGAGAACGCGTACGATTTATTTGAGCAGTATTTATTGGATATGTTATCTGTTAAATCTTTTCTTCGATGTTGATATTTTGTCACTTTTCGGAATTCAAAGTTGTTACCTAGAGTAACCCGAAAGCAATGTTTTTGGGTTGCAATGTGTACTACACCGTATAATCATCATTGGCACTTTATATGTCCCCACCCTCAGTCAACCACGGTGGTCCAGTACAATTTGAATGACTCCATACATTTCTTTGAATTTATCGATATGTGCAGGTGTTTCTCACAGTGAAGATAAACGTGATACAACCATCACCGTTTGGTGGCATATAATAATTAAATGTTACATTGGTTTAAAGAAAACGTTTTCTCAGTAATTGCCTTTTGTTAAGTATATATGCAATTAGATTTTCGATAGTCTACAATGTCTTAATTTAGGTTGCGGTTTAATACATTTTGATATTGCTTATAACCTCAAATTAGATAATAATTTTGTGCAATGCTTGGAATACGATCCTTAAGGTGTTAAGATTATATAATCACTAAATTAAAATTATAATCATGTATTAATGTATCTCGAATTATTCACCGTTGGGTCTAAATCCTTAATAAATTGTCTTTATTCCGGTTGCCTTTGTGGCCGGTTGCCTAGCAACCGCAGTAAAAACTCTGTAGTCGTTCACAAGTGCTATGCCCCAGCGTATTGTAAACATGTGTAAGCTTTCAGAGATGTTTAAAACAATGTTTCCACCCTGAATTAAATACTTTGTATTGTTCGTAGTGTAAGTGTCGCCGTCATCTTATCAGGTAAATTCCATTATACATTCCGCCTGTTTTCTTACTGATGACTAATCTATGACTTCAATATAATGCTATAGAATCATTTAATCTTCATATACTTTTGGACATTTGTGTTAACAAAAATTTCATATAACATCAAAGGAATATAATAAGACGTTTTTGACAGTCATTTAAATATGTGGCGACATCAAGCGTGTCTACAAATTGATGTCAAAATATCTGTATTAATTACAGAAAACTTTTCATCTCGCATCAGTAATTTTAATTAATTGAAACGTATTGGTAATGGCTCTTTAATTGCATATTACGCTTCAATTAATTCATAGTCCGACGTTTTAAAGTAAAACAAATGTTTTCATATCAATTAGCAAGTTCTTCACAACCAAGTAACATTACCAATATTAAATTTCAATACAAATATAGTGTACTTGTTTTAATTTCGCTGTGTTTAAAATGTAAAATAAAATAATCAATAATTAATTTACTAAATAATAATTTATAAAGTAATAAACTACCAATAGACAAGATAACCTTGTCGGAAGCTGGTGTTGCCACAGGCGTCCGACATGGTTATCTTGTCTATTAATGTTTTGTAAAAAATAATTAATGTTTTCTATTTATTACATTAATTCCCGGATTCTTGATATACTAAGTTTAGATGGATGGATGTTTGTTAGAGTTTGTAGCCTAAACATCTGAACGGATCTCGATGAAGAATGGTCTGGAAGAACACATAGGCTTTTGTTTTTTTCAATTCCACGCGGACGGAGTCGCAGGCGATAGCTAGTTGATTATGTAAACGTTTGTATATATAGACATTATATAGGTAAATATAATAAACTTATCAACATTGGTCACGACACATTACCATGTTTTCTATGACTCATGCATTACTATTCAAGCATAGTCTGTTACGATCTTTTCGATATTAAGTTTCAACGCCATACTCCGAAAAGTATGTTACCTTAAACATTATAAAGAGGTGACATTCAATAAAGATTACTTGTTAAACATGCTGAGTAGTATACCAAGTAATCTTAAACTAGTATAAATTGTTAATTTTAAGCGTAAAATCGGAGCTAGAATTAGTTAATTTAAGATTGTCAATGTGTTATGAACATGTGTTGCAATGGAAACCAAAAGTTAAGATGATTATTTGTGATACATCAAGTTATAGTAACACGAACTTGGACACAATTCCAAAAATTTCATGTTCCAAATTTACGTAGGAGCACAATCAATTTGTATTGTCAAACTAGCTGTTGTCCGCAACTACGCCCACGCAATATTAAGATAAAAAAGTAGCCTATAATATGGCCGTCTATGTCAGCTACACTTCAGTGAAAGTCCGGTTGTAATCAGCCCAGCAGTTTCGGAGATTACCCGGAACAAACACGGCTTGCGGACAGACAGAAACAGAAAAAAATTGCGATTTTTGTTATCGGCAACACAAATACATCATCTTCCCGAAATATGGAAATTTTCTTTTAATATTACAAACAGACACTCCAATTTTAATACATGTATACAAGATTAAATGAACTAGTGTGTATATTTTTTTTTAACAATAGGTTGAACGTGTGTACAGTAATGTAAAAGGTTAGGTGAACCTGCTTAAAGACACATTCCGACAAACGGGATGCGATATTTTACGGTGGGTTTTTATTGTTGAAAGTCCCGTCTAGAGATTTTTTTTAATATGGCGCCAAATTTTGGAACACAGTCTATTCAAATCCTGGAGGTATTTGAATAGGCCGCGTTGGCGTTTCTTATTGTATAGTGCACCTGTTAGGTCGGCCCCTGTGTGACTCATTGCCGCCGCCAAGCACAATTTGTACATAACTTAATTGACTTCTTTTCTTAATGGCGGATATCGTATTTTGAATTGATTTTATGTCCAAGTTTTTTTTTTTATTTCCAAAATAATATCTACAATCGAAATTAAAATTTTATGGTAATTTATATGTTGCAAACAAAAACATTATCTTCTTTAAAATTATAGTTATCAGATTTATACTATGTTATATACTTTCTAATTAAAACCGGAACATCTTTTAAAAGCCAAGAGACTTTTAGTTTATTTTCTCAAGCAAATCACAACAACTACGTTAACGGAAAATTTCCGTTAATGATGTTTTAAGTCGAGATAAATTCTAAGTATTTCATCTGTATCTTAAATGAAGTTCAAGAAAGACAGCCTTCGATATCCATTAATTAATCAATACAAGCCTACGGGTAAAGAACGAGATAAATGCTGTTTTTTTTTTATTTCAGATTCGACGATGTCACGCCTCACTATTCTCCTGGCTGTCGCCGGTGCAGTATCAAGTCAGCTTACGTTGGATGGTGTGAAATGCGGCCAGCTTACCTGCCTCTACGAAGAGTACTGCTCACCAGAGACGAACAGATGCGCTCCCTGCTCCACTGTTTGTAACAAAACTCATCATAACTACGATTCCGGCTTATGCGTTAAAGAGTGTCAAGGTTAGTCTGTCATGTTTCATTCACCATCTTATTACAGTCGACTCATTTGAAGTTAATAAACTATCAATATCCGTATCAAGGGATGTAACAGAAGCATTGCCTTTTGGTAGAAATAATAATATAAGGAATAAATGAGATGGGGAGAAGGGCTATAATGGGACTTATATAACATCAATTTTACCGTTGAAAGTTATTGAAAATATTTATATTTAGGCTAATAATAATGGTTTTACAATGAGTTTGATGAACCATGTATTCATATGCTATCGATTTCACATATTGCATTATTTTAATTATTTTCTAAAAATCTAATTTTCATACTTTATTTTAATAGCTATTATATAACATTGTATGACTGTTATAAACTTTAAAATAAATCTGATGACATCAGACATTGTAATAAATGACAGTTAAATAGAACCTAATTTTGGTACCTTTGGATCAAAACCGAAGACGATACCGACATCAAGAGAACCGCACGACAATATGATTAGATGTTTCAAATGGGTTAGCATAATTTATTCATTTAGTTATTAAAGTGTTCATGAATCTCAATGTTAAATATATACATTAAAAGCGATATAAGATTTTAATCCATAGCTTAAACGAAAATTTAAAAAATAAGAATGCAACATCGAAAAAAAAATCGATTTTAAATGGTAGGAATATTTAATTACTAAGTCCATTGCCCATGATTCCCTCCGCGTGGAATTAAAAAAGAACAAAAGTGAGTAGCCTATGTGTTCTTCCATACTATCCTTTACATCTATGCCAAATTTCATCCAGAGCCGTTCAGCCGTATAGGCTACAAACTCTAACAAATATCCATGCATCCATCTAAACTTTCGCATTTATAATGTTAGCATGAAATGAATAGTAATGTGTAATCTTTTGAAACTTTGTTGAGCTCGCAAGAGCTCCGGTCTAAATTCTCTCTAACAGGAACGCATTAAGATTGGAATATGTGTGTACTAAGCTTTATGGCTTTGTAATCGTATTGTATATTGCTATTAAATTCTACTGCCGCTGCCCGCTTTCAATGAAAATTCACTACAAAGTGTTGCATTAAATATTTTGCCTTTGTAAATTCGAGTCCGGATTCTAAAACTGGAGAATTTTTATATTAGCAAATATTTTTAATTTCAAATTTGGTAATTTTTAATATTTATCTTGGCAGAGATTTATATTGTTTTGAATTTATTGTGTATCCTTTAAGACTTTTATCCAATGAAAGCCTTCGAAAGGGCTTATACCGAGTAGTTTGCTGATGACTAAGAGTTATCTACATGCAATAATAATAAGAGCCGTCATGTTGTCTGCAAGCAAATGTTGACTCTATTTTATGTGTCATAAGATTCCTTATCATGTGCGATGACAACTTGAACAACCAGTTTTGTGACCGCAGCCCGCCTACCTGTATACTTAGTCTTCTCTAAATATTATATCCGTCTCTCTCAGTTGTTGATTAAAGAATGCGTATGTTTCAGGTCAAACCACTTTATAAACAGTTTCATAACCAATCTTTAAAGTTTTAACTTCTGTTTAATAACATGCTTTAATTGGAAATACAGCAATTTATATGAAAATTTCATTACGTCTGCTCAACGTTTAAAATTAGACAAGAAAACAGATAAAAGCAAACGGAATGTAAGAACGTTGTTACGGTGGAACTTTAGTGAAGTTATTTTTATACCCCATGTTTTTCCAGTACTAAGTATTGGTATTATATTCTTTTCACTTATGTTTGCGTAAGTTGTCGTTTGTCGTTTTTTATGGTGGGTTTCTGAAGTTTTCATTTAGGTTATAATAAAATATTATTACCTATTGATTAATTTATGTTAGGTTGACCCAAGTTTAACTTAATAAAGCTCATGTTATGAAGTTCGAAAACGCATTTCATGAATTTATCGGACCAAAAATACTAGCGAATGTTTAAAAGTAGCTGGGAAACTGGCCATTAATCCCTCAACGATTTCCCACGAAAAGGAATAACGTAACATGCTCATTAATTTGCGCAAACGATACGCAAAATATCTCGAATTCACGTAACATAATGATGTCGAGATATTTCAAAGAAAAAGATTATTATCGAAAAAACGACAAACATGTTACATAATTTTTTTTTAAGCAGCAAACAAGCAAATGGTAGACTTAATATTTCTATCTATGTTACATCTTACTATTATCATAAACTGGAAAGTTTGTATGGATGGATGTTTGTTCGAGTTTGTATTTAGAACTGCTGAACGTATCTCGATGAAATTGTTCAAATACGTAGAGCACAGCCTGGAAGAACAGATAGGCTACTTTTGTTTTGTTTTTTACTTCATGCGGACAGAGTCACGGGCGAAAGCTAGTTATTAAATACAACTAACATTAAATACCAGACCGTATTTAATCTGAAAAAAATGTTTAATCTTGGTATCGTAATAAAAAAAATCTTTGCATTAAAATTGAAGAAGTTAACGTTACGAGCCATTATAACGTAGTTTTTACTTATATTAGATTTCCTATCCGTACTGAATATTCTTATAAAACGTTAAAACAATATGAAGCTAAATAGAAAAAGTATGACGAAGCGTAGGAACGGATCATTGGTAAGGGAAGCAACAATACCCATACACTTTATGGTCTGTTGATTCCGACAGGTAGAGTATACACAACTGTTACACACACTTGCAAGTAGCGTTAACGTAAAAAACTACGTCTGTGTGCGTTACACTTGTTCTAGTGTGCAGGTGCATCACCGCTTTACAAAGTACAATATGACATTCCTTCCCAACGTTTTGAAACAATTTTTGATATCCGTTCGTGAAAAGGTACAACAAAATGTACGCTAACTTTCGTTTGAAAACTTTACTTTTTCAGCATTCGCTCTCACTTAACTCTATCTATTTTTGAACGGTACTCGACATTTTTGCATAAAGAGATTCATCTGGAAAATTTTTCACGGTCGATAAAGTCCGAAAATTATTTTCAAAGCTATTTAATTTGTTGTCTTCTTTGCTGACGTTACCCGTGTTTCATGTTTGCTAATCCCTTATGTTGAGGATGTGTGTGTATAGGAACGTATAAGTACAGGCACCTGTCTATTGGGGTGCTTTGCATTGTTTGCGTGACGCTACAATGTTTGTATTGGTAGTATTTTTATTCTCTTATGCGTTAAAACAGTTAAAATATTGATTAAAATATTAGACGTGAACTCACTGAATGTTTTTTAAATTATAATGCTTTTTAAATTAACTTGTAGTGTAAAGAGATTAAATTTCCTTATTAATTTAGTTCCAAGTTATAATTAATTACAATGAAACTTATGTCACTTGGTACAAAATCAATACTACGGAGTTTGTCACGAACACCCCAGGATATAGAACGTCTCTAAGCAACGGTAGACATGTCAATAGAAAGTTCTGATTGAGGGAAATCTATCCTGCAGAGAATTAAAAATAACTTCTATCAGTAAAAAAAGAAGAATCACAAAAAGTGTTTGTTGGTAAACTAGTTATAACTGTTGAAAACTGCATCTTAATTAAAATAAATATTTCTCAACAATTTCTTTATCTTTCAGGTTACCTGTTGGACTTGAGATATTTGCGTAGAAACGAATATGAACCGCCGACTTTAAATACTGATGGTAAGTGCTATTTTTTTGTTAATAAATTAATAATTTACCTGATAATAATGTAATTTTTTATCACTACACTAACGTAATTTGCCATCGTTGCTACAAATGTTACTTGAGCTCTGCAAAGCGAATTTGATTGATAACAATTTTCTTTAATATTATTAATATCTTGTAATGTGATTACATCAGATGGATTCATCTTCATATCAATTTGAGTACTTTAAGGCTAAATATAACCTTACAAAGAAGTAAATATCATCAACATTATAGTCCATTATGCTAAAAGCTTATATAATACATATATTGTTTAAGCACTTGCATTAAATATTTATACAGAGTTACTCTAAACGTGAAATTCAAAGAAATGTGTTAATCGCGAAAGTTCCACTAAGCTGTTTCTTCTATGACCTTTTAGCGATTTCTTTTTTATTATTTTTTAGTTTTGTTCGATGCTTTGCTATTTTATTGATTTAATGATTGTTGTATTGAGAATTTTGGTTGTCTAATAATGTTAGTAGATTTAAATTAAATGTTAAAGTATGAAAGTCGATTTCATGTCGTCATTTTGTGTGGATAGTGGCATGAGCTTCGCCAGGGGGAGCAAAGAGAAGTGCAGCTGCTCTAGACCTAAGTTATAACATCACCTGGCTACCCCCACGGGTCTGAATTTACAGAATTTACATCTTTATAATTTCTATTAGTTTCAATTACAATACGCATATTTTGAAGCTATCTCATTATTTGAGTAGGTACAGTCAGCTTAATATATGTGTACATTTACAAAACTTCAGATACTTTTAAATGTCTTTGGTTTCAAAAATATGCATGTACGTATTTCTCTATATGATTCCTACAAAGAGTACATGCTATGGTCGGATATTTGCACACGTATTTTTGATTCCGAAGTCCAATAAGTTTCTAAAATTTTGTAAAAATGACTGTATCTGCTCAAAAAAAAAAATAAGATTGAAATTAATATGTAAATTCTCTAATCAAAAAAATACCTACTGCAAAACAGTAACTGTAGCGATGTCATAACGTTATAATCAACAACTAAATGCATTTAAGCACTCCTTATAACATCACATATTTAGCTTTTATAAATTTTAAAACAAGTAAATGGCTGCGTTTTAACTACATAAACAATTTTATTAAATGAAGTCTATACTGGAAACTTTTCGCAACAATACACAAACTCGTGCAATGTAAACTTTTTGTGTCTGGCAACAACTTTACCCCTACCGATATTTATTAATAACCGGGCTGTCTGTTTGTGCGTCCATTTTCGCAGCACCTAGATAAATATTTAACAATATTGAGCTGAGTTTACAAAGCCGTACAACACACGGTCGCCAATTAAGTGAAACACTCCATAGCATGGTTTTAACAAAATATTTAACTATGTAGTTTTTGTGGCAATCAAATCAATAGCAGATTAAATGGACTTATCTGCCTGATTTGTAAACAAAAAAAATATTAATCAGGTGTCAGAACAGAAGTTTCTTTTTAAATCAGCTATTTTTGAAGTAAATTGAAGACAAATGACTAGAATTGGTTTAAATACTCGCACACTGCACAGATACACAGACTCATCTCACAGCGAAAACACACAAACACCACACAAATGGTCGACATTCCGTATCAAATAGCGGAATGTCGTCCAAAATAAAGGATCAGCGATACACTCCACACCCTTTTGATCCAATTAGGATTAAAAAAAATACTAGCATATGCGATTAATCTGGGTGAGAAATTTCTGAAATCAGACAAAAAATCGTGTGGTATTTAAAGGGAAAAAATTGGTTTTCTACCTTCAAGACTTCTGCTTTTAAATTAGTCTATTGATTTGTCACTCTAGTTTTATTTCCTGCGTTTAAATGTAATTTATTTCTACGAGTAACTTTTCCCGCCTACTTAGGTAAATGAATTACATTTAATCTTTATTGCGCTATTTTACAATTTGTAAAATTGCTATGCGACTTCCGTATTATTGACAATGTATTTTTATTACTCCACCTAAATAACAGTTTCCGAATCTATTTTTATTGTTGTTGTACTTTGATAGCTGCTGGGGTTTTTATCCGAGTCTTCTATAATTTCTAACATATCCACCGTGTTTGTATTGAAATTGCGGGAGTGTTTATCTGAAGTTAAGAAATTATCAATCTTGGTGACAATCTATGCAATACATGACCGTCTCAAAATAATGGACTCACGACCACGGGCTAAAATTTATGATGTTACCAATTCTGTTATTAGTCTATCTGTTTCAGAGAATGGTTACTTATTACATTATATTAAAATCTTCGTTGCATAGTTCTTTAAACATTTAAAATAATAAGATTGTTTAATATGATTGAAATGAGTTATTTGAGGATTGCCGTTTATATTCCGCACAAACAGAACATGGAGATTTCATCAACAACAGCAAATAACACGATAATAATTCAAATTAGCGATCGTGTTCATTCCACCACTGCTAAATTAATATTGTGGCACAGAGTGTAGTTAGGTTAAACAGTGAAAACGCAGCATTCCTAGCATACAGTGCAGATTAGATGAACCCGTTTACCAAAGATAAATGCTGGCTTTATTCGATTATTGTTTACGCTTTGCGAAATACTAATATCAGATGTTTTACCTCTTTTGAAGTATTAAAATATCATCTAAAAATTTAAAAGAAAATTAACATTAACTATAACATATTATAACATTAACCTAAATCTAAAAATGGAGGTCGTCTATTTGTTTTAGCATGATATTTTCTCCCGTTTGTTATCAATAACAAATTCAAAATTCAATTATAAATGACTCGCAGATCTTATGCGAAGTATACATATGTCCCTTATGGTTTTATATCACTGTATCCTAATGTTGCCCTATTTTGAACAGTGAGGGGTCGTTCGATGCGTATTCTCCCCGGACTTTCATTACTCTGATTGCCAATTCGAGCTTATTATGTCCTTAAAAGACAATCTATTTAAAATAGTGTTTTAACCGAAAAAACGATTATCTAGGTGCGCAGCGGCAAGCTCAAACGGCGCTGATCGTAAGCGGCGTGGCGCTGGCGGTTTTGCTTCTAGTCCTGATCATCGTATGCCGGAGCAAGTTCTCGTGGAGGTCTATTAAGAAAAGATTTCAACCACCTAAGGTAATATTAAGGGATACAAATTTTAATGTTATAATTAGTGGATTTCCTTAAGCCTTTTATTGATCTTGATCTTCTTTACTTATAGTTTTGAAGTTTCTTTTAAGTTTCAAGTTCTTTTTTTAAAAGACCTGCGAACTAATCGGGGTTTTGTTTTTTTTTTTCTATAAAAATATTACTAGATTTTTGTTAATTTACTAATATTTCCTTTAACCACTCCAACTAAGCTCTAGGTTTGTGCTAGGATATGACCCACGACAATAGTCGAACGGCAGGATTCGAACCCTCGACCGTAAGATTTAAAACCGTATTGACGAGTAAATATAATAATGATTTTAAATTCCGATTAAAGGTTGAGTATCGAATTGTTTAATTCATTGTTAAATATTATTAAGGGCTTTTAAATCTTCCCCAGAGTATGGCCAATTTACTCAGCCGGAATGGTTTTAGCTTAAGGATTTAATATTAATCAATACATCAAATAATTCAACACATCATCTCAACCTTTAATTGGAATTCGAAAACATTGTTATTTTTACATTTACAATGTTTTAAAAACTTGAACAACACGTATCTTAAAGTTTTCCGGTTCTTTGTTTAAAGATCAACATAAGAAATATTTCCTGGTATTCAGAATGTCTTTTGTTTTTATTAAATAACAGAATATATTGTTGCAGGATATTTATGTATATTTTACATACATATATACATCTTAGTATTCAAAATAACAACTTTTATCCATAATTGTTAAATAAATTTTTATACAAGACTAGCTGTTCCCGTGCGACTTCATTCGCATGAAATTATGAAAATTGTTTTATTGATTACATTTGTCAATTGCAAATGTCAAAATGACATGATATGATGACAAAGCATGGCAATTTTGCTTCCATGATGTCCCATGGCAGCAACTTATGGTCTCTTTCCCACATTAGGGTTTTTAACCAAAATATTTACCCCCTTAGTTTAATGGCGTGAAAATATATAGCCTAAAGCGTGACGTAAGTGTAGGGCTTTTTATTAAAAAAAGAACTATTCAAAAATATGCTGTAATTGCTGACATCTTAGGCAACAAAGAAATGTGTGTTTACGCTTTATTATAATAGTAAAGATTATTACATTGATTGATTATTAAAAACAAACATTTTTGTTTATTGTTTAAAAAAATAAAAAAATAAATGAGGACTACGTTATCATATTTTTTTAAAGTGTGAGGTACTTTTATCGTATAAGATCAATCATTATATACGTATTTGTAATATTTTATTAATTAATATAATTTAATGATTTCCAGAATCAGATTAAGCATTTCCCAAGCGAGCTCACTCATCACAATGCGCACGCTGATTTCCCGCGACCGAAACACGAGCTCAAACTTGAAATACGAAATCCTGAACCAGCGAAACGTACCACCCAGCCCTTGAATGTAAAAGACCTCGAAACGAGAACCTCGCAAACGGATAAGAGCCAAGGGGCGACCACGCCTAAGACTGTTAGCACCGCGATCAGTAACAGACACCCGGCTGAAGACACTACCTTGGACTTTTCCTACGATAATATGGCAATGAATGTCAACCCACCCGAACAGCCCGAAACAACGAACAGATTCTAAGATAGGGTTGTCACATTTATCGATAGTCCCGACTACATCAGCATTTACTGAACAAAGATAATTTTCTATATCAACTATGTTCAGTAAATTCAAAGTGCTTTTGAAAATTCGTGTATTGGCTGATTTTATATGGACATTAAACTAATTCTTTATTTTTCAGTAATTAGTATTATTGCTATGTTAATAATGCTTTCGGAATGAAAATTCAAAATATTTCGTTAAAACGAAAACATTTGAATTTTACCAACGAATTGTTTATCGATAGCTATGTATCAGCCATTATAAAGCACTAATCAATTGATTTAATATCTGTAAGAGCGGGTGCACAACTTTGACTAAATTATCGCACAGCTCGTTTGCCATTGTCGATTGTTTCGCAGCCCATTCAACTGTTTAGCTGCACAACTAAAAATCGAGCACCTCCATATTAGCTTATAGGAATCAAAGCGCGACTAAACAGTTGTGCTATAGTTTAGTCAAGGGTGTACTCGCGCTCTGAAAGTATTTAGCGTATACAACGATAAATTACTTTCCATATTTTGCTAAAGATAAAACCAATGTCTATAATTTATTGGTTTTAATTTAATTGTAAAGTGAAAATTAGTTAGTTTTCTTAATTTTTACAAACTCGGGTTTTTTAATACATGTGCATCTGATTTGTATTACTAATTGATGTTGTACTTTAGGCATTTAAAATACTTAAAAAATAAATTTCCATATCGTAATTAGATAAGCGTTTGTACATTTCGCAATGTAGACATTGTTGATGTGCCAGCTGATCATCGATACGCGCTGTAACGCAACACGTTACACGGCGAGCATTTAAGTCAGTTATTAAGGAATATTACGCAGAAAATGTGTGGAGTTGTATTACGCGGAGAATATTCGGCAGCAGTGTTACAGCATAAATGCTCATAGTGTAACGTTACGCCGTGTAACATTGGTCAGTACGCAACCTTTGAGTATCACTGTATAATCTAGATTAGAAATATTGATAATAATATATAAGATGTATTGATTAGATATATTTTAGAATTACTAAAAAACGTATTATCATACACAATATATGTTCAAAATTTATTTATTGTGCGTGTGATTAAGTTGTTACTTATTTTGTGAACATAATCTGTCATTTACTACATTTTTCAGCGTTACGAATACGTTAGAGATTCCTAAAAATCCGATATAACTAGTTAATATATGAAATATTGTACTTAGGAACCTTGTTTATTGCGCACGATATTTCTGAGAATCTGATAACGATATAAAATAATCGCTTCGTAGCTTCACGTAATTCTTTTCGCTATGAAGATATCAGGCAAAAGAACAATCGTTTGGACTAGCTTATTATCGTTTTAAGTCGTATTTATAATTAAATAGTTTATAGTAAGAAGGTTAATGCACATTTTTCGCAATTAAAGAATCAACACAACAACAATTATACGGTGTTTTCTGAAAAAGTCACAAAATTTAATGTTCATACGGTAGGTTAACCATCTCCTTAAAAAAATGAATATTTTTAACCGAAATATTTACATTTCTTGTTTTTACATTTTTTGACAAATTATATGTATATTATACTATGTACTTAATTTAACCTTTAAAATATATAGATTTGTATTTAATAATCAATTTTATTAATTAGTGATGCTTAGGTTATAAGAATTAATAATTATTTAATGATAAGAGTCGCTTATCAAGCGTTAAATGTTAGAGTATTTTGTGTTAATTTAGTAGATAATCTAGTATGAGTATGCTTTCTATAATTATATTTTTAATTATTGATAGATATTTAATACATGACCGTTTCGACTCTAACATTTCATTAGGTAGGAGAGAAACTATTTAGGGAGTTATTTGTTCACTTACTCAATCTTAATTAGACATCAGTTGGATACTTCTATAATACGAAACAAATACAATCTTATTAATTGATCTTCTGATAAAATCCCTATTGTATCGGCTACTTATTGTTTGAGATGATTGATATTTGATGAATCAAGAATCGTAGCTGAGATACGTATATTAAGATGGATATGTGGTGTGACAAGGAAGGATAAAATGTCTATTAAACGGTGTTTGAAAGAAGAGTCAGTGGTGGTGAAATTGAGAAGTAAAAGGTTAGCGTGGAGGACGTATACCGAAAAGTATTAAGATTGAATGTGGGTGGTTACTAAGGGAGAGGAAGACCGATGAAAGTATGGATGGTGTTAAAGAGGATATGCTTAAGAAGGGAGTGAATTCTGATATGATGGTTGATAGAGATGTATGGAAGAGTACATACATACAATGAAATTGTTTCAATCATAAGAAAAATTATTATCAAACCTTTTTTAGAATCATTTCTATAAGCCATAGTGAGTCGTTGCGCGTCTGTTATTATATTTCTAGCATAAACACTAACTTTAATATCTTCACGTTGCTTCAAAGCTCTTCTTATCCGTACTGGAAACAAATGAAATTCTACATAACTAAACAATATTTGCAAAACTCCAGATGGAGTTTTCATACAAGTTTAAGGTTTGTCGTCAGGACTTTTAACACTATGTAGTATAAATATTTTTGTTTAAAATGCGGAGATTTGTACTGCGCGAAACATTTTTAATTTGTGCCGCTTGACTGCGGGATTATGTGGCATTAAATGAAGTCATCAAAAGATTACTTCAATGTGGCTTCAAATTCGGACATCAGATAGTATCTGGAGGTATCATTAAATTTATGTAAAAAGAAAATCATCTCAACTTAACGAACTGAATGTCTTTTAGCAACAAACATTTTAACATCACTCAAAGTGTAATATTTCGATAAAATGTTCCATAACTAATTGCGAGATTACGCGCTTTAGCCGTAACAAGCAGATTTTCTACGAAACAGAATCATTAAATTGCGAGGAACGCGCGCTTTGAACTGATTGTGTGGTCCTAATGATGTGACATCGTATAGCATTTTGTTGTAATACTATTGAAGCGGCATTTTCATTCAGATGGAGTGCAAGCATGATTAGGTTTCTTACAAAGACACTTAAGAAATATATAGACTAGGCATAGTGAAGAAATTTTTTTTTAACCGTAGTTTCTCTGGCCCATAATATACAAGTTGTCTAGATTAATTCGACAAAAAAATTATAATAAGCATTATCTTTTGTTATAAAATAAATTAAATAGTGTCATAAAATAAAAAAACGAACATTTAAATATTACTTAATGACAACTATTTATGATTAAATACAATTTATTATATTAGTACGTGATTTCGAGGCTGTCAACACATAACGTTAGTAATGATCTTTTTTTTTTTTAAATTGCAAAAAACCAGCGCTTGACCACCTAGACCAAGGTGAAGATGTGGTCGAAGGATGGTACGATCATGTGATAAATGTCTTACTTGAAGTTGGTCCTATGCCTACTCTATATTTTTTTAATCTCTTTGGTTTCTTGTAAGAAAATAAAGCCGTCAGACGACTGCGCTTCGTATGAAAACATGAAATTAATTTTCCTTCGAGATAAATGTAAAGGAAATGTTACTGGAATATTTTGCGAATTGTTTACTTTTTAAACTTTGAAAACTAACTATGTATCTGATCACAGCTTAAATAAGTATTTTTTTTTTCATATTTAGTCAGTAGATAATATAAATGTACATTCAGGTATTTCTCTGCTCGGATTTATTTTACATTTTAAAAATAACTAACGTTTGCTTGGTAATTTATTAGCAGATATTTGTTAGTTTACTAATTTCTTTTGATCTACCAACTAAGTCTTGTGTATATAACTTCGAATGATAGGCTTCGAACTTTCGACCACGTGTTTGGAAATCCGTACCATTAACCATTAGGCAATACGCTTAAATTCGCTCCAAAACCTATTTCTAAACGCATTATAACAATATTACTAAATACTTATAACTCACAAATCGTTAGTTTCGTTTTGTTTATACTTTTGACATTTAGTGTGGGTTTCGACTGCAATGATACTTGCATTAGCGCATAATGTGTTTCTGTTTTTTAAATGAGAAAGACAGGGATGACGATATGAAGTAACATAACAGCAACGGCAGCCGACCATTGCATCCACTTTAACCACAGATCGATATATTTTTTTATTTAGTTCAGCTGAATATTAAGAACAAGGACATACTTAACATGAAAGTAAAAGGCGCGATGTATAGACGAACGTTATGTAAAGTAAATCTTTTATGAACATTCAGTCGTTTTAAAAAAATCATCATAATTCTATAAATGCGAAAGTTTGAATAGATATATGGATATTTGTTACCTAAAATCTCTGGAACGACTCAACGGATCACAATAAATTTGCCAAAGATGTAGCACATAGTTTGGAAGAACATTTGCTACTTAATGTTTTTAAATCCGCGCGAACAAAGTCTCGGACAAAAGCTAGTTTCTATTTAAAAACCTATCTCATTCCATAATGATCCGTTGAAATTGATTTGCTTCTTGAATAAAATTTTGTTTGGCACAACATGTTCGTAAATCCTAAACTTACTTTGTTTTAAAAAATGTCTCTTAAATGTTTATACCGCCTACTGCTAATTATAAGCAAGAAAAGATACCATTAACACGTTCTCATCAAAAGTACAACAACTACTAAAAATTTTTAATATGCAAAGCATATCGTAGACATGTCAATCACAAAGTAATCTGCCTTTGTGTCTCGTCGCAAATTTGATTAAATATTATACCACAAGTATGTCTACGTTAAGTCTTGTAAGGATATTACATGTTGAAGTTTTACCGAGAAAAATGTACATGTAAGTAAAGAAAGCATTATTTTGGTGTTTTGTATTGTTGCGTGTTCTATACGTGTTTACTTAATTGTTAATGTTTGTTTGTAATAGTTTTTGTTACCCTTTCATGTTTGTATTGTCTGTATCGTAAATAACGAAATAAATTTTCTCTTTTTAACATAGGATTTTAAAGTTGAATCTCTTAGTGCATTTTACATATCTTCAATTTGTTTTGTAAAATTCTTTTCTCTTTATTAACTATGTATGTAAATAAAATCACATTTTTAGTGACAGTTTGGTTAAATTAACAGCATGTCATAAACTGAGCGTGAATAATTCGTTACCATTGGAACAAAAATGTTTTGCGGCGAGATGGCGGATACTGATCAATTATTTAAAACGATCCGACTGTTTCAACCTTTGACTTTTAAGAGAAAGGACCTGTTGTCGCGCGCATACCCTTCTTTAAAAACAAAAAGTTCTAAAACTGATTTGTGCTTGTGTTATTAAAGTCTGTAATTATTATTTTTATGTCTTATAAAGACGTTTAAATTTTATTTATCTGCCATCATGATTATACTTTTGATTATTTTTTACCTGCGAAAAGAGGCAGATTTCGTTTCAGTTTCGAGGCTCCTCTATGCCTAGTCCATA